ACAGAAAAGCTGGCACTCAGTTCAAGCACTGCCCAGTCAAGTCCTCTCAATGAACTCAACCAGTATTAATTTAATTACCTTTCATCACAAGATTTGCAAAAGACAAAGTAAGAACACATATGAAGAGTGTAGCAGAAAAACCAGCAAGAGACACTGAAGAGTAACCAAAATATCCAAAGCTTCCTGAGGCACCGTAAAAGCAAAGGATCTTTCTTACTTCTGTAAACTAAAACATAAAGTGAGACATAAATATTTGGGAATGCCTGAGTTAGATCAAAAGATCTCACTGCAGCTTGGAAAACAAACAGAACAATATCAAATTTATCTTAGCTAATGAAGCCATTTCTTACACATAAATCTCAAAGTGTTTTGTGAAGGATCCTGGCTATTATTTCACATATAACACACATTTGTTTATGATGAGGAATTGCCATTAAAATATCTCTTTAAAGACACAAACCAGACAAGCTCAGACCTCAACTCAGATGCCTTTCTGCAGCCTTTTTAACCATTTCTATTCAACCACAGAGTCACAGTGACAGATGACTGCTCTGGGCATGAAGACCTTTAATGGGGGAGAGAAGCTACAAAAATTCTTAAGATTCAACTTCAGCACTAAGTATGAGGAAAGGAAAACAACCATATCAGGGCAGTTGGACAGGAAGACAACCCAAACAGGACTCTTGGGGGATTTTTTTCAGCAATTTTAAATAAAATCAATTAACAAAGTTTCAGGGAGTAAAATAGATCCTGGAAAATAGCTACTTCCATAGAGGTAATTCCCAATTCCCCGCTGCTCTCCATTTTCACCATCACATGCAGTTGCCCCACATTGAGAGATGGAGACTAAGCTGCCACAGAACAGCTGGATGTAAAATCTGCTTCAAAAACTGTACACCTGATGTCCTGAGTAGAGATGAATACTTTTGTCTGCAAATTGGGGTTAAAAACTGCTTTATGCTCCATAATCCTTGTTAAATTTCATTATTTAATAATGACCAAACAATATCTGAAGACATGCAGATTGCCATTTCATCTGCACCTCAATGAGAAGTAGCAACTCTGCTGGCCTGCATCATATTGACCCAAAACTGAGCATGATGAGTGCTTGTGACAGCAGCTGAAAACAACTGGGAGGGCTGGGAGATGCCAGAATGGTAACAGCAAAGTAGGATGCTGACAAGTGAGGAAATATTCTCAAATATTTAATTGTTCCAAAGCACACAGAGCTGTAGTTTCAAGCCTTGCTCATCTCCAGGTGTGCACAGAGTTTTCATTGTTTTTCTTTGAAATGTATCACTCAAATTTTTACACTTCCCATCTTAGTGTCCCAGGGCTGCTGAATTCTGTGTAAAAATAACACATCTTCAGTAACCAGCAGGATCTGCACAGGATTCATCTGAGACAGAGGAAATTTGTGCATTCTCTGGTCGCAAGGGGCATTAGAAACCCTCCCATGTAATTTATATGCCTTGTCTAAGTCTTTTTATGTCATTTGTAGAAAAACATTCCCAAACAAACATCAGATCCAGCAGTGACATTTTAAATGTTGCAGGATCTGCATCTTAACATGCCACTGTCACTGAAATGAAGAACAGCTCCTGTTTATTGCAGAACTGAACACAGCACGGCCTATTAATACACACACATTTCTGAGTTCAAAGGGGAAGAAAGGAAACCCTTTGTCATGTGAAATAGCTTTTAGACATTTGTATTTCCTTGTGAGAACTTCCCAAATCATTGCTACAACAAATGGTGCCATTTTAGACGGGAGCAGTGAGTGAACAGCCCCTGCCTGTGCACCCTGCAGTTGCACAACGCACTCTGCCCACCAAGGCCCTGCTCTTGGCACTCCTTTTCCTTGGAGGAAATGTGGCCACCCTGAGGCCAGCACCTGAGGTGAGGTGAATGAAGCTGCACTTACCTCAGCCCCATGCAGGCCTGCCCCACGTCCATCCCTGCAGGGGGGGCAGGAGCAGCAGGCCCATCCCAGCCCGGGGGGCAGAGCTTTGGTGTCTCTCACGGGCTCAGCACACCCACAGCAGGTACCAAGTCCACAAATGCACCCCAAAACTTGCCCAAGGATGAGGCCAGAGCATGGCTCAGGCCAAGCTCACCCCCTGGCATCCCCCAGGATCACCCCAGCTCAGGCAGATCGATGCAGTTCCCCCAAGAGCAATATTGATGTTTGATATTTGTTATTTCCCTTTGCTTACAAAAAGCCTCCACCACAGACCAGGTGCAAACTTCCCATGCAAAACTACCCCAGGGGTATGAGAGGTGAAGCACCAGAGATAGCTCCAGATGAATGATCCAGGTCCTTCCCTTCTGTCTTCCCTGGTGGAATAGAGCATTCAGAGATGACCTCACACACTTTCAAACAGAGGGAATGGGAATGGCAGCACATCTGAGGGTGTGTGTGCTCACAGACCCTCCCAAGGTCTGTGCTGGTCCCTGGGCCTTCCCCTGTCCCCATTCCCTGACTCCTGAGCAGCATCTCCTCCACTGCTGGCAGTCTGACTGACAGGGATGGCCTTTGGAGCTGGGAGGGAGCAGCTGTAGCTGAACAGATCAGACACAAAACTGTACAAACATCTCCTGAAATGAGCCACTAAAACATCCCACAGACCTGCAGCCAGGCAACGAGCCAGATGATCAGCCAAATTATACCAGGCTTTCTGAAAATAGCACATTAATGCTATTTTTTTCATGTTAGAAGACAAATTTTATTGCAATTCAGCAAATGAGCTACACCTGTAAAACCTCTTTGTATATCCAATTCACATTTAATGTCCAATGGATTGAAATGTCACAGGAAAAAATAAAAAAAAAAGGAAAACAGTACCTGGTTTTGTCATTATAATGTAAACTTCAACACGGCCCTTAAAAATAACAAGCCAGTGATTTTCCCATGTAGTAAAATATATAGTTTATAAGGTATTGATGCTTTATCTTAGTTTAACAGCCAATCTCTAGGTATAAAATAAAGAGCTACAAAGATGTGAAGTACGTGTACAATTTCTTCAAGTATTTTCAAGTATCCTATAGTCTTTTCACTACGGACAAAATTCATTTGACAATATACAGAAAATGTTAAATCTGAATAGTTTCACTGCAGAAATCTTAACATATTCATGAATTTAAAACACATAAAAAGTATGGGTCATCCAGCTAGTACGTCCCATTTGAACAGTTTGAAAAATACTCTTTGTAATGGAAAAAGTTGTGGAACAGTCTCCAGTTCATGAATATGTTTTCAGCTACAGAATATCAGGTGGTTAAAGTTTATGGCAGGTAAAGGCTTTTTTTTTCTTTTGTATAAACTTACCATCATAGTATTTAATTACACTTAAACCAAACTTTATTAATTTGCATTTTCTTTTTGTATAAAGTATAATTGTAGCGTTAACCAAAGAAGGCTAAATAATTGATAGGTGATAGCCTAATTTTTCCTCTCAAATCAGGTATGAGCCTGTAAACATGTTTGGCTAGTTTAGCACTATGTATTTACTGCATGATGAACTGCTTACTGCATTTCTCTCTTTAGAGTGAATGTGTGCTGTTAAAAAGATGAACTTTTCTCATTAACTGTTACCAAAAAACCCCACTGAACAACAGAACAGCACAGCCACACTAACTGTACCTACCAAACCTGCCCCCTTATTTTGGAAAAATAACAAGAAAAAAAGTTAACTGAACAAAGGGAGAAGGATTTTACAAAGTTATGGATAAAAAGGTGCTGATTACACTGTTTGCTCTCATAAAGTTCAGCTGAATGGCATGGCAGGAGCAAATGCTGGATCCTAACATTATCCTGTGGGACTGCTGCTAGAACAGCCATGAGAGAAGGGCGTGGGTTTGAGGTGGGATTGTGGCTGCTCCTACAGCCTGGGCTGTTCTTATACATGGAATCTCTTCCCAAAATCCTGGCACAGGCTGAATTTAATATCTTGCTCTTCCTTGGTTACCTTTGGAGCTAACAAAACCAGCTTTAGTTCTGCTGCATCTCAGAACCTTCCACTGCTCCATCAGTGGAGCAAATCCCTGCAGCCTTGGAAGTGCACAGCAGAAAGTGCAAAGTGCTTTGAACCCCAACAGGATCAAGCACAGGCCCCCTGTGAGAGGAAGGTTCTATCTCAAACTGGTTTTTAATGCGGGAATAAAGTAACCTAAGAGCTGGAAGAGGATCTCTGTCTCTTCCTTCTGCACTGGACAGCCAGAACTCAGGGTGCTCTCACTGATGGGCAGCACCATCCTCATGGGCCAGCCAAGGAGCCCACCCCTGGCAATCACCAAATCCCAGCCTCTGCCCATCCCAGCCACCTCAAATTGTCCTAATGATGGCAAAACAATCCACACCAAGACAGCCATTAGGCCAATGATATCATGTCTCACTAGGTAAACTTGTGTAAGGAAGGAAAAAAAAAAGATAGAAAAAGAAAAGAACCTTAGTTCAGGGTAATTACCTCATGCAGATAAAATTAATCCACCCTTAATACTATGAGATATATGGTTTTAACAGGATCAACTCAAGTGTTAAGGTCAAACTATGGAACCTTCCTTTCTTACTTAATATTCCCTGTCAAATACACAGGCCTAGTAAAGTCATTGTCAAGACAGCTGAAACAAAAACAACAAAAGAAAACAAATTAACAAAAAAATCCCCAAAATAAAACAAAAAAAATTGCTATTATTAATGCATAAACAATTTAGGACAGGTGTAAAAAGACTATCCTAACATATTAAGTTGAATATATGAAATTCTTAGAATGCAGTAAAACTTTTTTTTTTTATTTTTGCCCTTCCAAAGTGGGAAGAAAAACAAAACAAAAAAAAAAACACCAACAAAACCAAACCTGCACACACAGAATGCTCCTGTGAAACGCTCCTGCAAGGTGTGAAAGAATTTGCACCCACCCCATGTGAGGAGTGGCTCAGACATTGCCCTCACATCTTCCTAATGCTACTGTGAAATCAAAGAAGAATCTTGCTCTGATAAGTAGTGACAAAGGAACTTCTCAGTTTAATAATGAAATAAATAGGACAAAATTAAAAATAGTCAAAAATTTAATACATGTGCTATACTCATAAATTATGGAAATAAAACTATCACAAGATGTGACTAAGCTGTAGATAAAGTAAAAGTGCTACAACATTGTATGAACCAAAAAATTTGGACTCTGCTTCTCCAAAGAGAGACAATACTGAGATAAGTTTATACAGTGGAGACCTCTTAAATACACAGCCCTGAACTTCTGTACAGTAATTTGTGATGCTGATAAATCAGCCTGTTCTTAAGTCACATATTCATTTCAAAGAGATTTTTATCAGAGGATTCAAATGAACAGAGATGCCTTTAGGCATTTGCCAAGTTCCAGATCTCCAATAAATTAAGCTTTCAAAATGTTTGTGTTTCATAGCAGAAATGGCCTAAACTTTCTTTGCTAGAAACAAAAGCATCCCAAATGAAGCAGACTGTGACAATGGGATCCAAGACATATGCACTCAAAAGGAAAAGAAAAAACCTTAATATCACTGTCCTTTCAGAAACATTAAGAAATCCTTATACTTGTTAGTAAGGTATTATTACTTCAGATGGGGCATAAAGATTTTTATTTAGTCATCTGGCATCTGGGGAACTCATGCTCCTCTTTATTAGCAGTTAAGAGAATTACCAGCAGCAACCATATAGCAAGCTTCAAAAGGCTGGTTTAAGTGGAAATGTTCTTGTGTTATGAACAATTATTCCAGGTTTTTCATTTAAGTGGGCTACACTGTAAATTCTGAATTGCAACATAATATAGCCAGCTGTATCATAGAAGATTTTTTTTTTAAAGACAAACTTACAAAACACAATGATAGGTTAAATAAATAAAAAACATCAGTTAAAAAACAGACTTAATTTCTTCTTCTGTGCAATTACGTACCAATATGAAAAATATTACTTTGATCTCTGGACATTTCACGGTTCAGTCTCCTGGATTTCACTAAAAATAATACTGACAACAAAAATAAAGGAAAAAAATAATTGTTGACAAATCAGTGCTTTGGAGCTATTAAAAGCACAGATCAGATCTGTAGTTCCCTTGCAGCAGAACATGACCCAACACCTTAAAAATCAAACATTGGTAATAATGTTAATATATAAAATATTAGTTTAAAAACTATAGAATGACCTTCTCAGCAGAAATGGAGTGTATACACTGGGGTCTATGACATACAGCATATCTGAAGGCAAGTTCACAGAATGCTGAAAGGCTCACTGCACATTTTCTATGGCAAGGAAATACTGCAGCTTTAAAATAAGCTGCACAATACTCATCTCTATCTCTTTCACATGAAAGTGTGTAAAAAGCAAATCAGCAAATAAACTCTAAAATAGATTTATACCAAAATCCTCTTTTTTACATTGAGTTTACAGCTTCTATCCATTTGCCTGTACTATTTCTGGAGTTTCCTTCAAGAAAAGTCAAAGTTGCATTTCTGGGCCATGAACGAGTTCACGATACAATGTACTGGCAAGACAGAACTTTTGCATACTAACGAGATTCACTCCTTGTTGCTTTTTGTTGTGTTTGTAAAGACAGTTTTTCCTGTGGGACAGGAGGTCAGATGTCGATTCCTTTGACCAGAGATGCCTCCAGGGTGATGTTGAACTCCTGCAAGGTCTGCAGCACCCGAATCAAAGAATTCACCAGCGTGTGATCCTTAATCAGGGCTATGTCCTCATACATCTGGGCTGTAATGGGGCAGTCTGCAAGCAGGGCGATCCAGTGGTGCAAAAGGTGGTCTCTGACAAGGGGCCAGTGGGCAGTTTGGGAATAAAAATAAAGCCAAGTTAATTTCACATCTGCACAGACATCATTTTTATTCTTTGCTTTTAAGCAGACCTACCGTGCTCTCCCCTTCTCTTTATGAGACAGGGAGTGGGGAGTAACTGCCCCGAGTGCAACATCTTTTTCATTTCATTAAAATATCAGTAACATCAACAATTATAAAGAAGTTTTTTTGTACCTGGCTCCAAGACACACCAGCATTTGAAACTTGCCATCCTTCCCAATGTTCCTGGGGGTGTTGTTGATAGCAGTGATAAAGCGACAGAAATTCCTGGCCCTCATCTGCCAGTTCTCTTCTGGGACCATCTCGTTCTGCTCAAGGGTCTCATAGTATGTTTGTGCTTTTTCTTAAAAGAATGGTGGGAGATAATGAAGTTTCATCAGTGCATTTAGGAGAGAGTTAAAACTAAAAGGCCTAGGATCAAAGCTCATCCATGAATTTCCCGAATCATTACTTTTAGGCACTGTTTGTTTCTGTTTGATTCAGTCCTGTGTTCACCCTGTATAAAACTGGGATTCCATTTCCTTCCCTCTGAACAATGCTAAAGAAGTTCACCTATCTGTTGAATTTGAGTGCAGTAAAATGATCATGTAAGGGGAACGGCAATGGTAAAGTAGCTACTCAAAATATAGAAACCTTATTAAAAATAATTCCTTTTTAAAAATGTGTTGGTGAACTCAATTGATTTGTTTAACTTTGTGTCAAGGGATCTAGACCATTGTGTGAAAAATGCATGCTTATAACCCCTTTATTACAATGTCCAGTACATACAACAGCACTAGATCCATCTGCTGTGCTCTGAAAGACAACTCAACCTCTTACAAGTGTGATTTCTTGCTTTCACTGTGCTCAATTAACAACAAGGTTACCCCATGTCAATTCACCACCCTATGTACCTCTGTTTGTTTTACACTGTAACTGTAAGGAAGTTTGTTTTACACTCTAACTGCCAGAAGGACAAAGCCCAGCTGCTGCATGAAGTACAGAGTCAGCTTTGGCAGAAGACAGAGACTCTCACAGCAGTACAAGCAGGTAGGAGCCCCCATAGCCACTCAGCTGCTGAGATGCCTCCAAGAAGTCTGCTCTTCACACCAGCTGAGACACAAAGCAGTGATAAGGAACACAGCTGGATGTGCTTCAAAGACACAAACAGGCTCTGGGATGTCATCCTCCCACTCACCTAGAAAGTCCCAAATGAAGACGTTCTTGAAGAGTCTTGGTGATTTAAATCCGTGCTGGAACACTTGCTCCAGAGCTGAAACAAGTCCACTTTCTCCACACAGCAGCAGGGTCAGGCTGCCTCTCTGCCAGCACACACAGAAAGCACACACACTCATCACCTCACCTTGGGACTCTGGGACACAAGTGTCCCATTAAATTTTTAAATAAACAAATGCCTAAAGTTTAAGTCTGCTGTCAAACAGTGACCCTGAACAGGATAGCTCAGTTCTCACAAGTCCTGAGCATTCAAAAATGGATTGACTTCTCCAAGAATGAGGCTGAGGAAAGCTTTGTCAGGGCCTCATCATCATCATCAAACAAAGCCTCAAACAGGCCAAGATAATGAGCAGGTTTTACCTATAATAATCATCACTAAAGAAAATTATGAAAATATTTTCCTCTTTTAAGTAACAGATCACAGACCCAGTGTAGCATGTACCCCTTATCAACAAAAATATTTAATGCTCAGTAAAAAACAAAGTCCTGCTTCAGCACATGATGGTAAATTCTATTCTGCAAAAGCAGTGCATGACCACTTGAGATTATTATCAATGTGGTCACTGACTAGAATTACACTGGATATGAATCTGTCATACCATAATGAATTTAGAAGTCAGGTGTTACAGGAATGTAAAAAAATCCTGACTGTCAAGATCCATCCATGCAGATCCAGCACTGCTCTACACCTCTCTGGCTCATAAGGGCTGGACAGGGGTATGGTACTTAGGTTTGTTTCAGAAAAATCACTGCTGGGTCAGCTGATCACATGTGTAATGCAAAACAGTCTTGAAGAGCACTTCTGCTTCACTTTCTTGGGGGATGTGGGTGTTTTAGGGGTGCCCTTTGTTTCTTTCCCTTTTTTTAAACTGGCCCATGGGTTTTCATGTTTTAAGTAGCAAGGATAATGCAAAACAGACATTAAAAACCTACTTAGAACTCAATGCAGATGTAAAATGCCAGTTAATTCAGAACAAACTAAACAGTAGGCAGTGTTCTTGAGAGTGTATGGGTAGAATCCTTGGTAGGATTTGACTAACAGCACAATTTCCAATACCAGAATGTTAACATTCAATTTAACAAAATGCTCCAGTTAGCAGCAAAACACAGGTATTTGAGGCTGTACTATCTCAGTATCTCATTTTTGCTGCACTTCAGGAATTCTCAAGCACATGGCTGTTCATTCAGTTTGGTTACTTCTGCTATATATCCTCTCATGTTTACTAATCAGAGTTTTAGGACAGGAGTGCCATTACAGACAACAACCCCTCACCTCCTTCTCTGGCTTGTGGAAATGCTTGACAATACCATTCACAGCTTCACCAATAGCTTCTTGTATCTGACCAGTATTTAACTCTGCAAAACACAAAAATATATCCAGTTACAGCTTCAGAAATTGAACCTTGTGTGTGAGGGTTATGGCACAGCACAAAGCACAGCAGAGGAGCACAAACCAATATAATTCATTCTGTTAAGGAAACAGTGCTGGGCTGTGGGTAATGGAAACCCAGCTCTACTTTTATTTATTGTTGAGGAGGTAGGAATGGAGATGGTTTGGTTTTATATTTAAGTTAACACAGTGGTGTTTCAAAACACCAACAGTGGAAAGGGTTTTTACACATTATGTGAATGGTCAGACCAGGACCCAAAGCTAAGAAAAGGAGCAGTGCTTTGTTTAGGACTGACAAATCTGGGCATCCTGGAAATAATTCCTGTGATAGTTTTGCTGCAAACCCAAGTATGGTTGGGAACAAAGTAACCACCTGATTTATCAGGAATAAGACAACCACAGAACACTGACCTCAAGAGCAAACAAAGAGAAGTCTGTGAATAGAAACCACTAGCAAGATTCTTCACCCACAAAGGACAGAGAAAGGGCAGCAAATTTCTACATTCCTCCATAGCACTCATTCCATAGGTGAAGGACAATACAAAAGACACCCCTGGACCAGGAGCACAGACACATGTGACACCCTTTCAGATTTCAAAAGTTAAGTAGACAGAACAGGATGCCCAGGATTGTAATTTGGAAGTTAGCTGGAGTTCAAGCAGGACACTGGGCTGAGTTTCACAGGTCCTCCCCAAACTCCAGTTGTGTTTGCAAGCCCTCAGGTGATGATGTAGAAGAGGACAAGACAGGACAAGCCCCAGCACTCACTTGGCTTATTGTTTGGTGAGATAGTGACAAATCTCCTGATCATGCTTGGAGACTGCTGCAGGGGAGGGGTCCGGCACTGGCGCTCATCAGCCTCCGTGTGGGAAGTCAGCAGCTCTCCCACCAGGATTCTCTCTAAGCTGCCATCATCCATTCCCTTCCCAAGCCACCTTCCACAGGGAAACCTAACAACACCAGGGAGATAAATGGGTCAATCCAGATTCAATTCCATGCCAAAGACTTTCAGCTGCAGTTGCCTAAAGCCCAAATCCTGCTAGCATAGTTATCAGAAAGACTTCATTCACCCAGGACCAAGTAATAAAGTCTTGGCTTTGGCTTTTGCCAGCACAGGCAGCAAAAGTTTGTGCTGAGTGTTGCAGGAGATGATCCACCCACAAAGCAGATTTTACCTGAGTCCCACATGTAACATGATTTGAGGAAAAATGGGTAAAAGGGGAAATCCTACTACATCCCATAAAAAAAGGGTGAAGAAATACACTGAATATACTACATATCAAGCCAGCTGTAAAAAACCCCACAGCCCAAACATATGCTTAAATGCCAGAACACCAGTACTTCTACTCAATTGGGGTATTAAAACAGACACACATGCTCATTTGCTCATTATCACTTTTTCTGAACCAATGTTGATGGCAGTTTAATCACCTTAATTGGAAAACTGAACAGCATCCAAAAAGAGAATCTTCCCTCTTCATTTAATTACAAATGAACTGGCATGGAGAGCTGAGTGGACTTACCCACCAATTTGACATCAACATGAGCCTGACAGTTTCTCTAAACAAAGGACAGGGCATCAAACTATGCTGTATCTAACACAAATAAATTGAATTCTCATTGTAAGTTTCATTCCTTTACTTTTCCCCATGTAAACACAGGTTTCTAACACTCATAAGGCCTTGTGTTCCAGCTTGTGTCCAAAGGTGTCTCTGTAACACCTGGAGTACCAAGACCTAATAGAAAATACCACCTATATTTGGTAAGCAGCAAGCTCTGACTTGCTGTTTCTTCCTTGGGCTCAAGGCAGATTATTTCTAAGCTGCACAACAGTCAACTCATCCTCTCCACCAACAGTCTGATATGAGTCATGAGCATCTGCAAACTGCAAACCCTGTTTAAATTCAGAAGAACCAGGATTTGTTTAATGCCAGAAGCCAAACAATCTTTCTGTGCCTTCGGGTCAAGGCAACTGTAGACACAGAGTCCCAGGAGATCAGACCTTTCTAATCAAACAAGCCCTGCTGTGCCAGCTCCCTGCAGGAATTCTACTTACCCCACATGAAATGTCAGGATGATACTTACTTGTAAGTATGCCCTGTTATTTCATTTCTGACCATAACATATTCCACAAGCCACTTGGCATACAGCCCTGAATTATCATGTCCTATTTGCACTGTGGTCAGTTTTCCCAGGTTCTGGCACTGCAAATTAAACAAAGAGTTTGTCAGAGGAAACTGAAAGAGAAAGAAGCATGTTGGGGGAATAAACTATTAGGGAACGTGCTCAGACAGAAACTCAGCAATGTGGTTCCTGTTTCTGACTGCATGGTTGGTTCTGGGCTTTTTACTGGTAGGCTGCTTTACTTGGTTTTGTTTGCTTATTTTGTTAAATACTGTTTTGGTCTGCACAGAGCACGTCAGCTGAACTAGATTTTTCAATTCAATTTTACCCAATGAACACAACATACATGGAAAAATCAGAGCAGAATCACTTCTTTGTTTTCCAACAGAAGAGGATATGACACCTCCCACAGTTGTAACATAAAGACAGCCTTGTCTATCCCTTGCACTAAGGAATTGTCAGTCATTTTGCTCTGCATGTTATTAAATATAGGTTAAATGTGCTATGCAAAGGCACAAACTATCTGTGACTAACCACAAAGATATTCCACATTCATTCCACAGGTGAAGAACAATACAAAAAACACCACTGGACCAGGAGCACAGACACATCTGCCACCCTTTCAGATTTCAAGGTGGTACAGCAAGGGAAGAATTTGAAACTGAACAAAACCAGAACACTCCAACCAGGTTTTGTATCAAGTAACACAAACCTCAAAAGTCATTTCTAATATATTCCTGGGAATCTGCAGGACTCCTGTTTCACCCAGTTCTCCCGAAATGCAGATCCAAGGATTGGCTGTGAACATTGAGCCACCGAGTTTCTTGCTGGGAACAATCAAGATATGGTAGGGTATCACTGCAAACACAAAAGAAAGAACACTTCAGAAATGAAGAAGAATCATTATGTAACCTCTTTAATCAAGAGAGGAGCAAAAGATAAGTCATAAAACAGCACTGCAGTACCATGAAATTAAAAGAACATCAGAGATCTCAGTTAATCATGCTGACACACACTAAGCACTGACTGACAATGGGGAAGTGTACACATACACAGCAGCCACTAAGAAGCAGAGCTGACAGCAGAACAGTGTCAAGTGAAGAAAGAAATTTGGATGGAATAATGCCTTCTTATGAGTGTAATCCCTTTTTATTTACCAACTTCACAACATGGCACAAAGACTTACTTATCCTCAGCTTAGTGACAAGGAAGTAAAGACATGATACTCCTGTACCCAGGAGTGTACAGTAGCTCAGGACACTGTACAACTCCCCCAGGTCCCACTCAGGCACTAACTGCAGCCTTTCTTCACAGGCATGGATGGCAGCAGCATTCACTGCCATGGCTGAACAAATCCAGTGAAAATACAGCATAATGCTGCACATTTCTCTCTGCCATGTCACTCTTAGTTATGCTAACGTTAGGACTTATCAATCTCTCAAAAGAACAAGCAATTTTTCGCCTTCTAAATAGCACCACACACACATAGCTCAAGTGCTTTCTGGACCCCTGGTTGACCTGTGAGTAATTCCATGCAGTATCACCTGCGCTGCAGTCCCCCTCTGACTCTCGAGGCATGTGCTCTTCTACCACCCAGCATCTGCCCAGCCCTCTGTTAGCCAACCTTTTATAATAAAACCCAATTCTCTGAATGGTCACTGTGTTTCTTGGCTTCCTGCCCTTCTTTCATAGTGCCTAAGCAGATTACAGTCAGGGCTTTTCAGATGAGGCATTTAATGCATTTCTCCCTCAGCATCTCCTCAGCTGTCAGTGCCCTCGAGAAAGCATTTGGTGGTTGGATCTTCTTAAAAGCCCAATGCTCATAGCATTTAAGAATGAATTAAAATGTTTCCCTTTTTATTTTCTGTGCTGATAGTCCTAAAGTAAGTGACAGTTTAACTGCATGCAGCAGACCAGATTTTCACATTATCCAGAACTTGCCTGCAAGATCAAAAGCTGTTTTGCTTGGATGTCTGTTTGCTTTGTCTTTCATACACACAAGTGTGAATCACAACACACCACCAAGGGTAGCCCTTTCACATATCCCACCCCCAATTTCATAAGCCTTGCTAAATTCTTTCTTTATTTTGCCTTCCCAGTGACGTCCTGTGGCAGCAGGCACACAGATCTTTGAGAACTCTGTAACATAGTTAAGTGTTATAGTTATCAACAATAGCTTAAAAGTTTCTCTAGGGTATCTTTTTAACAACTAGAAGAAAAAAAAAAATGCTCAGAAGTTCTGATGCAACCCTCAACGGGCATTTCATTGTTACCCCAAACCCAGACACAGGCATGCAGCAAAGTAGCCTGAGCACAAAAAAGGAAAGGTTTGTTTTCTTTTAATTAAGAAAGCATTAATATTCTTGATAGTGAACACCCCATACTATTATTATTACTTATTATTTAGTATCATGCAATGAAGCCCACCACAAAAACTTCAGCTGAGAACTCACCCCCAATTAAAATTATTAGAGCTATGTACCTCACTAAGTTAGAAACAAAAGTGACAGGGACAGAAACTCCTGCCCACCAGAGAAGATCTTGGAAACAGCAATACAGCACACACAGCTGGATCCCAGGGGAAAAAAGCAGAACAATTACATTAGGGCATGTTGCTCAGAGCTGTTTAGAATTTTGGACAAGGACTCAACCAAATCTAGACATCAGAGCTGCAGGGAAAGCAAATACTTACAGATTGTTGTGAAAACATTGGTAAAGCAGAAGTAATCCACAGCATTGAATGACAGGAGATGATACAGGAATTGCTCCTTCTCATCATCGCAGCGGAGGAACGCGTAACGCTTGTAGAGTTTCCTGACAAAGCAAAACACATAATCTGTCACAGCAACAAGATGCTTCCAGTGAAATGTTTTCTACTGTGCACATTTATTAGGTACACTATGAATAATGGGCAAGCCATTACAAATGAGAAGTGATACAAGTGATACTGGGAGAGCCAAGAGTTTACAGCGTGCCGAGATACGCTGAGTCTCTGCAAGGCTGACATCTCCAAAGTGAATCAGTCCAGCTCTCATTATCTTCCACCTCTCAAATGTAACATTTGGTTTAAGGGTCTTCTCCCATCCAAAAACACCCCAAGATGGAAAAAGGAATTTTGCACTTTCTTGAAAAATATTCTGACTTCTTTAAACCATGTAAAATGACAGAACTGAAGTGAAGAGAGTTTTCCTAAGTTACTTCTGAGCAGAGGATGCCATGGGAGAGCTTTCCAGCACATGATGTATGACAGACTGTTCTCAAAGGACATAAGACAAAAACTGGGGCTATCTGCTTGTATTTAGCTATAGGTGATCATATACAACAACCTGCACATTGATCCAGGGAATAGTTCAGTGTTGATATACACAGCTCATGACATAACCAACATGATAGGCGTGCAAAGGTGGCAACCAAGAAATAATACAAGTGTTGGGCATAATCATAAAAGAAGAGCATGCCAAAATGTATCAAAATCCAACTGATGCTGCAAGAATATCTAAACTCTCCAGAATGCAGGAATTGGGTACTAGAAATGCTGACCCAGCTGTGGACAGGTTGTTCCTGCCAGGAGGGCATCCTGACAACTCCCCTCAATTTCAGGTATCAATTTACAAAAAAGTCAGCAAGTCACAAGACAGAAACTTGCAAAACAAATCAATGATTGTCAACAAACAGGCATGTTCTCAGTCACATAACAAACCTGACACTAGAGACTGACAGGAAATGTTCAATGAAAACAAAGAGACCGAGCCTTAAATTAACCTGACCTGCCTGCAGCCACAAGAGTGGCAGAGCTACAAAAGTCTCACAAAAGGTGGCCACGTCTGTGTTTCATTTGCACAATCTGAATCACATGTTTGACAGCCTGTCAGGGTATGTGCTGTCCTGTCTCTTCAAAGGATAAGGTTTCTCTGTTTCCCTGGGCACACAAAGATCTCAGGACATGTGATTTTTCCCTGTTCCCTTGGCAGACTAGAAAAAACCAAACATGTAACATTTTCCTTGTATTTGTCAACAAATGTGAAGTAAAGAGAATGGGATAATTAAAACACCTAACAGCTGCTTCAAAAGGAACAACACATAATCTTGTTAACTGTAAAATGGCAGAAGTTGCACCATTACTTTTAGTACCTCACTGAACTCAGCACTGTTTCCTCTAAGAACAAGTGGGGCACACTTTCAAACCACTCTGCCTACAACAGCTCTCTAAGTAGGTGTGGTGGTTTGACAGGAAATGTGTTTTTTGGGATGCTGTGTTTTTGGCCAATGGATATTCAGACTTTAATATTGGCATTTAACCTGGCCATTGGGACATGGACACGCCTCTGAGAACACGGGGTTAAAAGCAGAGCTCTCCCCTGGGAGGGCCTCTTGGGTTTCCGGCGGGAAAGAGTTCAGGTCTCTGCCCCGGCCCAGCTGCTGGCTGGGCAGGGGGAGGGGAAAGCCATGAAACCAGGGAGAAGGTATCTTCATGGGGGCACTGGCATTGTGCCAGTGTTAAACCATGACAGTAGGAGATGTAAATATGCAGCACAAAGCACACAGGATTACAGAGAATTGATGTCATCCTGTACAAGTTGCTCCTTTGTTTGTCATTTTCATTTTAAACATACTTTTGCTGCAGTCTCCCTCTGTTCCAGAGAATCAGAATCTGCCTGACAGATGAAGAGAACACTGGCCAGTGTTAAGAGGCTTTTTCCTTCTCTTTTGTGGGGGTCCATGGAGTGTAGTGGTGTGTGGAAAGTCCTCTCACAGCACATGCTCTGCATGGGACAAGCACTGCTAAATTTAACCTGATCCAAACTGTTGACTTCACTGGAGAGGCTTAATCTTAATTTGGACATACAGGCAGATTTATTAGCTGTCCTCTCTCCATCCTTCAGCTTTTCCTTATTCACTAAGGCCACAGCTTCATCAGAAAGTCCAACACAATACAAGACAAGGCAAATCTCAAAATTAGCTGTTGGGGTTCAGGGGGATTGGAGAAGAAATTCCTTGGAAGATGGGGAGTGGAAGGAGAGGAAAGGAAGAGCAGACAGCATAGGTTAAGCTGTGTCCAGACAGAAGTCTTCAATTAAAGTTCATGACAATTACTATGGCTTTAATTTCCACACAGTAAACACTGTGTGTGATTATTATGAAAGCAAATCACCTTATGTTGCTGAGCAGGCTATAAATGTAAAAACACATGTCAAGAACCCCAGCACTGAACCCTAATTCCCAAGCAGCTCACACACTTGGAAGGCCAGTTTGTTCCACGCCTTCTGCACACTGCTAAGCAGATGCAAAAATAGGAATACCTGGATTTTTGAACCCAAACAATTACATAGAATTTTTTTTAAAAGCTTTGCCCAAGATAACCCATCTTACTTTGTGAGTTCATGATCTGAAAGCAACTGTTTCAGATGCCTGGAGAGCAGCTTCTTTTCCATAGAGAGGCGAACCCAGGCTCTGGCCTTGCCAACATCTGTTTTGATCTCACTTATGTTCTGGATATGCCTGGAATAAAACAAAAAGACATGCTTGGTACTGTCAAAGCATGACAGCTCTTTTGAACCAAGCTCAGCTGAAGTTTTCCAAAGAACACAAAATATCAGGTAAATTACAGGAAAAAGAAACATAATCACCTTAATATTCAGCACAATAAAAAAATCCCTGCAATCTAGCTCAAAGAGAAAAAGAGCCTGAAAAGGAAATATCTGCAATGCAGTGCCCTATTTACAAAATTCTAAACCAGGCCCATTGTCTCACATGATTTAGGACTCATTCTGGACCTTATCACTGCAATATTTATGGCTGAATGCTTTGGAAAATTAAACACTGTCTTTGCATGCTCAGTAGAAGCTTTTCTTGCACACAAGACACAAATGGTATATTTTAAAAAGGCAGGCAAATCCTCAATTCACTCTTCCCTACTGAAAAAAAATGGATGCTGTAAGGAAAAAGAAGGAAAAGACAATTCCTGTCAAGGTTGTTTCAGAAGTTCTGCATATTGCTTTTTCAGTGTACTGAAAAGAAGGCACTGGGCAGAAGTTGTAGTTTTATTCACACTACAATAGTGAATGTTAGATAAACCCATTCTTTAGATCAAACCAGTTCTTTAAACTCCATTCTTCCCTGAGAAGCAAAAGTGGTCTCAGAACTCTGCAACCAACTCAGCAATGACTGGGAAAACACAAGCACTACACCCACACCTCTGTGGAAATAAACCAATACACAAAATGTTAAAAATATGAAAACCTTGTCATGGTATTTCTCTAAGTTAATAGCTGAGACAATATAAAAGCTCCTCAGAATGGAACCTGCTTCTGTAAAGGTCAATGAAACCACTGAACTATTTACTTTAAAACAGCTCAACAAGTTCCTTCCCCACAGCCCCTCCTGCTGCATGAAACACAGGATGGTGCACAGCAGACACAGAAACAAGTGTGCAAATCTCAGGGGGTTTCTGGGTTGTTTAACAGCTCAAACTCACCTCATATCCTGGATGAGAGAGATTCTGAGAGGTGACATAGCTGGACTTGTATCAGACTTTCGTCTTTCTGAATCAAGAAGTATTCCTAGATTGAGAAGAAAACAATTTCTTGTTAGCAGAAATCCACCTAAAGATTCTACAATCAATATTAAGAAGGTGAATTAACCCCAATTTACGCTCTTGTACTGCTGGTGACTGTGAAGGTACTGGGGTGTATTTCCACTCCAAATTACAAGAAAATCTAATAATGCTACACAGATGGTTCTACAGATCAGCACACACTGAGCACCAGCCCATTACTGAGTGCAGGTTCAGCTGGGATTGCTATGACATTAAATGGCTTAAGACATATAGTAATCAAGTATTATTTTCTAAAGATTGCCCTGCTTTCTTGCTGTGCAGTGACCTTGAGTGGCACTACTGACACCAGAGAAAAGTGTTAAATATGCTGTACTCTGTACACCACACATTCTGTGCTACTGAGCTATTACTTTGCACACTCCTGTAGCACCACCACTTTTTAAATATCACATTTTGGGGTTTTCAAGCAATATTATTACTCTTAACTTTCAAATTACACTCCAGAATGAAGTTCTATGTTGAATACAGTCCCTGCCCTCAAACCCAAGTTAGAAAGCAAGGAACTGATTGTGACTTATTCTGATACACAAAACCACTATGAACTAAGGGACATTGAGGAGACCATAAAATTTCCAAATCTATAGTTCTGATTGCTTACAGGATCTTGTGCACGTTACTAATGCTCAAATCTTTGCTTACAGCAGCTTTAAATAAAAAATAAAAGGCTCCCACTGCCTCCCCCAAACCTATTGTTCTCTCCAAATTTATATCCTATGCCCACACCTGACACAAGAAGTAATGTTTACAAATTACATTAACAATCCTAGAAACATATTATTAGTGGATCTTATGCACAATATTGCTTCTACTACAACAGTTCAACCAACAAAAAATAAAAATGTTTCTTCAGTTGAAGTTTTTAACAGTAAGCCTCCTGTTCAGTTGTTTTTCAAGCCATAATGTAGAACTTCAGGGTGTAGAGCACAATTCTTTGTGCTTACACTGTTTTCCACCCTGACCCATAAGATCATTTGCTCTGCAGCCATGCAGGGCCTGTGTGTCTCATGGAGGATGATGTACCAGAGCAACCCATTTCAAAGCCTATCTCTGAAGCATCAGCTACTTCTGGGTTCCTGACTACCATGGTAGTCAGATCCCAGACCCAAACAAGTGGGCACAATACAAACCAGTTTATTTTCCATAAAACATACTGAGACAACATACCAGCCCATATTAAACCTGTAGTAGCCATAATAATTGATTCAGTTACATGGAGTGAAGGGTATTTCCAGAGGAAAAAACTGCTTGGTGTAAATCTGCAGGCAGCTCTTACTCACAACTTTTAATCATCTTCTTCCAGCAGATGCCTATCTTACCTGAGGTGCTGAAGCTGCCTGATGTGGTTCTTCTTTGTCTGTTTTCTAAGTAATGTAACAGATGAGACCACAAAGCAGACTTTCCCTAAAATGAAAAAATATTAAACAAATCACTACCAGCTGAATTAAAAAAAAAAAAAAAAGTCTGAAACATGATTGAAAGTATCAGCCATGACAAAAACTTGCTTTAAAGATGTTTCTCCCTATAAACTCAATGGTGAAAACCAAAAATAAGACAAAAGTGGGAGGAGCCTGGGAGCTGTGAAGAGGCTGAGAAGGAAAAGCAAGAGTCAGACTACTGGGATCTAATGATTCTGGTAACAGGAAGAAGTCAATGGAACTTCTTCCCTCCTAGTTCATTACCATGACAAGAGAACATTCAAAGGCTTGTAAAACGCTGTAGAGTCTTAAATCTGAGGCTGTGACCTGTCCTGTGGGTCTCTCTCTCTGCCTCTCCAGAGTAAATGCAAGGGACACAGAGCCAGCCTGAGCAAGACTCACCCAGGCCAAGTCCTGCTCCCCTCGGGGTCATTCAGGGCTAAGGATAAATGCTGCCCATTTTTACAACCTCAAAAGATTCCCCTCAATTTCATCAGGCAAAGCACCTGCATAATCACAAACACAGTAAGATATCCCAACATAGAAGCAGGACAGTGAAAGCTTATCAGTAAAAATACCCCAGTTCTACACATTGTAAAACCAACTTAAAAGTCAGAATTTGGGATGTAATATTTAGGCCAAGATAAATCCATCATATGATGTTAAAAGGTGCACCTTGCTCATTATGTTGCTTTCTTAAACCCCTGGTGGCTTAAAGCAGAGAGTGAGAAAATCACTGGGCAACTATAAAGATTCTTGGATTCATCATAAAATATTTCACATAATAAACCATAAGCTTGCAAACCTGCAGAAAGGCAGCAGTAAGCAAACAGAAGCTCTCCAGCACATCAATTGGAATTACTGACAGATAATTAGTATTACTTATCTTCCTAAAGTACTGTATTAACCTGAAATCCCAGGGAAGATTTAGCAATTCTGCATTTCAGAAAAGCTGTCATATTATGAGGCCATATTTTTATTTACAGCTTTGTGCAGAAAGAAGCCATGACTGTAAAGCAATAGTTGTCCAATTCCACACTATCAATTTCATCAAAAATTATCTAAGTGCCTTCCCAGAAGTGCAGTAATGATAGATCATCTTTAATTTTTTCTTTTTTTAACTATATTTAAAAATCTCTAACCATTTCCATCCTATAGCTCCCTGCAGTTGACATAATGAACTATTGACCATGAGGGATTATTCCAGAAGTGGCACGCCTCCAGAAGAATAAATCCTAGACTGTCTGTAACATCTGTGATGACAAATCTATACAAAAATATGCATCCAGTGGTGAGGATATTAAAAAAATCCATTGTGTCTTGTGTGTACCTGACAGATCCAATATGGAAAGCCAAAACTTCAAGTCTTATTATAAACAGATAAAAAAGAGCATGAAAATATCACCCAGCAAAGAGTTACATCCAGAACTGTCTTTTCTCCCAATAAACACACACATGCACACACAATCTAGTGTTCAGCAACCAGCTGCCAAGGCAAGGAGAACTGCAACAGATCACAGAAAGCAGCAACAAAGGGTCCTGCAGCAAAGTGATGCCAACAACCATGATGGATGTGAGGACTCATGCAGTGCCTGCCCGCTCCTCCAGCACCGTGGACCTCTCCTTTAACTTCACCAAATAGCAATGATGAGGCAAGCTGCATCTATAGGGGAAGGAAATCAGCCTAAGGAAAGTAGTGGGATAGAGAATGGGCAAGGGAATAACCAAGGCCTTCTCAAAGTCCAGACTGCTTCGGCCATTAGATCCTGCATCACAACCGCCCTGCATCGCTCAGGACAACGGAAGGCATGGATTCCCTTGGCACGTGGAAAGATCAGTAGGTAGCTAATGTAGGACTACTGGGGTTCATCAGCAGGGAAGAGGGAGAAGCAGGGATGGGTGGAAGGAAAGCCATCCTCATTACTATGGTCAGTTGAGAAAGAAGAGTCTTCCTTGGCTCATTATTGAACAATAAAATCAAATCAATGTATGAAACAGCAGGCTTTTGCATATTTCATAAAGGCCAGAGCACACAGACAACTGGTGGTGCTTTTTTTACTTTTGATTTTTTTTGAACTGTGGATCATACTGTGAGATACACTGCACTTCCTCCATCAGGCCTCTATTCTATTCCACCACTCTATCTATTCCAGCATTCAGCACTGCTTGCCAACATCTGCAATCAATCCAAAGCATTAACCTTATGAAGGGTTGGCCGTCTGCTGCTCTGAAAGGCCCAAACCTGGGTTGAAGCAGAGTAAACTGATGCTCTGTCTTCTAAGATGAAAGCAGTACAGCTTCTATCCTAAGTGATATACAAGAGGGAAGGGAGAGAATCACATGATAAATCTTCACATAGAAAACTGTTGGATAGTTTGAAGGAGAGCAGAGTTAAACACTGGTGTATGGCTGCTGGGAACAGAGATACTGGATTACAGTTGTCTGGATTATGAACATATATTCTTAAAAAAAAAAAAAAAGAAATTATAATCTTCTCCACCCTTGCTACTCCTTTGTACAAGGGAGAAGTAAAGTTGGTAAAGGCCCTCCAAACTCCATCTTGTCCCACAAGTGACTCCAAACAGAAAAGCAAAACAATTATTAATTTCACACAAAACCCCACCACCTCTAGCAAGTGATCTTGTAATCATAATTTAAGTACCCGTACAGCCCCCAGGAAGAACTAGAATAGCAAGACTGTTACTTTGAAGTACTAAATTATCTTTCAGGAAAACAATTCCCCCATCCCACTGAGAGCACCTTTAGGATAGGCTGCCTTGTAGCCTATGCAACTTCATTAACAAAAACATTAAGAACACAGCAATAGTTGGAGTCTTTTTTACCATCCTATTAAAGAAAACTACCAAAACCCACCAAACCAAATGAAAGCCCCAGGTTAAATGGGGAGTCCTCTGAGAAGTCATCTGTGGAACACGTCTGCAAGTGCACTTACACATATCCCACAACATGGAGACACACAGGGGGTAGGAACTGACATAAAAAAGACTGCAGGACACACAAGTCTTTTAACACATCTACAAACACACTAAAGGTGTTCTCTGAAAGCAGAGAGAGGAACAGCATACCACAGCTTCAGGCAAGTGTGCTCTGCAATGTACAGAAATATTTATTCCTCACCTGTTTGACTTGCAGACCGTGACTCCATATTCTCTCCAAGAGGTCACACAGACTGGCTATCAGGGTGTTCTCTTCCACTCCTGTGATATTCACTTCACCATGACCAAGCTCCACAGCTTCTCGACCCATCTTCTCAACCAACATCCTCTTAGTCTCAAAAGGGACAAGGTAAAAGAGAGGTAAATCTCTCCCAGGAACTTCCAAGATCACTTACACTTTTAAAAGGACCAATAAGGAAGCACATGATAAAGTTTTGGCAGAATAACTGGCTGTATATATGTATTTCTGGCACTAGTGCAGACCTGCTCTTCTTTTATCCCTGGTTTTCAAGCCAGGACAGCAGCAGTGCTCATCTTGTGTTTTTCTAAAAAAGGGTTTGCAAATGGGCACATCATTCTCCACAGAGTGACCCCAACAAAGGGAACAGCAGGTCACACATTAACAAGCTGGATGCTCAGCAGCAAGGCCACAAAACAGATCATGGGTGCTTTGGTGACTACTGGATGCACTCCCCAAGAGCAGCACACTTTGTCCCCCTCCTCCCAGGGGAGGTGAATGCACCCAAGTGTTTCCAAGTAGCACAGGTATTTCATTCCTGGGAGATGCTGCTCTGCCAGAAGGGCATTTGGATTAAAACAAACCCATTCTGGAGTGCACCTCTTGAGCTTCCCCATGAGCCATATTCTCCTAAATTGTGCACAATTTCATACTGCCCACCAAAACTTTCACCAGCTTCTCAAGTACAGTCTTCCAGTCACAATACATATATTCATCATACAGCCAACTGGAGGAAAAAATGGTGAGGGAAGCAGTTCCACTCGTCTCTTACACGTTTTCATCTTTGTTCCTATTCTGGACTCGCTTTTAAATGAGGAATACTCCCTTAAGCACCTCTGCACAGTCTTGCTGGAAATTAAGAAGTCCAAGTTAGTCCCTGGCTGCTTCTGCCCCTCATTCCCTCTGGCAATTTCTCACTCTCACAGAGCCAAGTCCACCTTCAAAAACTTTCACCATCTCTTGCGCCTCTATTAAGGGATGGGGATTATTTGGGCAGTTCCATAAAGTGAAATCAGAAGTAGATGCACATACTAAATAGAGTTTTATGAAAAGTTCTATATAATTACTATAGTACCCCCACTAACTTTAGGCAAGAATGTGTCTATTTCATAATTATTCTCTCTGCTGTATTTTTATAAACATTAACATTTGCTTCAGATTAATATGTTGTCAAATATGTACTGGTGAAGCATGTCTACAAATCAATGCCAAATTTCTTTGTTAAGTGCTTAAAAGCATACACCTCAGAAATATAGTTATGAGAAAAGCTGCTGTATTTTCCCCACAAGCCTCTCTTTTGGACTATTCACTCCTGTTGAAATTGTACTGTCTCATTAGTTATAACTGAAATGTGCTATAATAGACTTGGGCAGCAGGATGGTAAAGACCCTTCAGAATATTCAATCTCTATCATAAATCTACTTGATAAAGTCTCTGCTCCTTGCAGAATTTCTGAATACATTATCTCTTCATTAATTTCTCACCACCATGCAAAAATCCTTACAGGGATAAAGCAGAAACAGATGGCAGAAAAGTGGGGGGGTTCAAACATGCTGGATACAAAATGGTCCAGAAAGGATGGATATGAGGTGCAGGAGAGCAGGATTATTCTCTGTATTACCTTATTTCTGCATTCCTTCAACAAGCCTTCTACAAACTTCCAGTTTGTTTGTGCAATTACTGAAGGAGAGAGGTTGGAGAGCTTGGGCTGCCGGATGGTGCTGCCCAGGTTCCTGGCTTCCTGGATGTATTTCTGCATTGGGAGAGAAAATGGACACAGACCAAAGCAAGTGAGACTACTTGACTAAGAGAAAAAGGTAAACTTATTTTTATAACCCACACCTCTGGAGTGAGGAGGAAAGTATCTCCTCTTTCAGAAAAGGCCCATTTTTTATCCAGCATTACTAAGGGCTGAGACACTTAAAACTGCTGTTTCACCAGAGGTCAAATCCCCATTTATATTGGCTACACAGTATTAGAACACACATTGCTGAATTACAAAACACAATACAAACTGTCAAGGATATTCAAGATGCATAGAGATTCAACTACTCCCTGCACCACTGTCAACTTTTTATCTGTTTCATTTAAATGAAAATTTGCAAAAACTACCTAGACCAAGAGTATTAAAGTGGCAGACTGGTCTACATGAGGACTGCAAGAAAACTTTGCTCTTTCAGGAAGCAGCTGCAAAATGCAAATGATAACAACATCTCTCAGCTGTGAACCAGCTGCATTTTTGAGGAAAATCATTTCCTGAACCCACTCTACTCAAAAGTGCTCTTCTGCTCCTATTACTGCCATCAAGGAGTTGCCTTTGTTTTCACCCCAGAGACAGGAGTGATATGACAAATATTTTGGACATATATGACAACCTTTTGGATCACAGGTTGGTTGGGGCACAGCTAAATGAGAATTAGTGACAAAGTCCTGTACAGGCACTGATGGAATACTCAGGATTAGTACATATGTCAAATTAAAAGGAAACCTCTCTAGCTTACATTGAAATAATGATCAACTGAAATGTGTTTGACAGATCTATTTACTGACAACAAAGAGGGAAAACCCCATTTTCTCCATTGGCCTTGCACTAAAGAGCTATGATGTACACATTAAATTATGCATCTTTATCCAGAACTATGATTACAGTCATATTGTGCATTGGACATACCAGATAATGCTCTGACACAGATTTTATAGAGGGCATGAAGGGCCAATCATGCTGGTCCCAGTCTAAACATAACTGCAACTGAAGCTCTGACATGGAAAAGTCCAGGTGCTGGCAGGATAAGTTGGTAGCAAAAAGCCAAGCAGATGTAAAGTGAAAGTGGTAAGACATATGAAGTAATAAAAGCAAGCATGCAAAACAGAAAAGGAAAAGAGTGAAGACAAAATACAATGCAGAACTCCCAAGCATTCAACATAAACATAAATTCGTAAGTAATGAATCTGAAAGGAAAAAAGAAAAGATGGTGTTAAATCAGTGGATTGGTGTAAACTCTGCCCTCCACTGGGCACAAATGTTTGCAAGTAAAAAGTCTCCATTGCACAGATTTTTGTTGGCTGCCACAAAGCTTCAATCAGTTTAAAACTCCCAAAGCTGCAGTTTGACACCTCCTGCTCAGCCTGACCCCCAGTGTTCATCTCAGAAGAGCTCCCTCCCCACTCTCAAATTTACTGTGCAAGTCTGAGGGTCACCCAGAGAAGGGGCCCATGTTCAAGCACCATTATATCATCCAAGAGGTACAGCACAAACCCCTAAAACAGCAGCACCATTACCACTGGCACTCAGTACCCCCAGCTGAGCATGCATTTCAAAGTATTCCTCAGATATTTTTTGCCTTTTGCAACAGAGTAACTCCCATAGGAAATGAACTTGTGAGGAATCAGTTAAAAACAAAACAAACAAAACACCCCAGAGACCAGAGGTAGATTTTTGCCTTTGTAATTAGCTCAGAAGTTTACATGCTTTAACAATTGTGTTGTTTAGCACAGTAATGAGGTTAGAAATCAACTACTATTCATTTCTGGTACATCTAATAAAAAGCACTTTAGAGTTAGCTGAGCATATGGAACATGTCAAAGCCAGAAACTACTCGTAGAGGTTTTTTATTATGCAGACATTTTTCTGTTACATGGTTATGGATGACAGAGATGACACTATAATTCAACAAAATTTTAACAAACCAGTAAGTAAATTCCGGAACTGAGTACACTAGGAAGACAATTAAATCCATCACTACCATAAAAGGATGAACTGAACAAACACACTTGAATTTCAAAACACTATCCTAACAGACATAAGACTACTAAAATTCAAAACTAAGCTTTTCTAAGGATATTTACCAAGGCAAGAGAATATTGTTTTCAATGAACAACACACAAACAAAAGCAAAACTCTGGCATTAGTAAACCAAAAAAAACTTCTAATATTTTGAGCCAGTCTATTCTTGGAATTACCCATAAATCAACACCTGGTATAACAGTTTGCAGTCTGTACCATATGAATCAGAAACTGTACTGTAATTAGTTCACTTCACCCAGATCTTTCAAAACCACTTCACCACAAAGAAAAACTGTGTCAGCTGTAGGAGCAGTGGTGAGAGATGTTCATCAGTTCAGAAGGTGGGTAAATCAGCATCAGACTGCACTGTGCAAAAACAGGCAGCCACAAACGTGACAGTCTGGGTGGGCTTCACACTCTCACCTTAGCAATGAGGTTGTCTCTCACTCTGTCACCTTAATACTTTTATTATGGTTTACAGAAGACACTTAGGCCAAAAGGCAATGCTCCTGATTTTAGGATGAAATTCATCCCTCTCTAGAGGTGGTTATCTTTCCTCCATCAAATACACAAAAGAAACATGGGGTCACTAAGTTATTCAGAGATGGGAAATAGATGGAGAAAACTATTAATTACCCTCTTCCCTCTCATCCCCTTTAAAAGACAAAAAAACCACAACAGAACAACTTGAAATCCTGTGATTATATATTCAGAGAACTCTCCTATATGTGGGATGAAATAATTTTGTCCTGAGAAGGGGCAAAAATGACATAACTTTTATAATAAGAAAATTAAGTATTTTTGGTCTGTTACTTCATTTGTATTAAATACACTTAAGGGAGAGCAGACAAGAGCTGCAAGTAACTGTCTAGACATTTCATAAAGGTTGCAGAGCATTTCTCAGGCCATTAGGAAAGAAAAAAAAAAATCACATCTCTAGAGCTGAGCAATTTTCACCTCTCTCTGGTCATTGTCCAGCCGCAGGTGCTCCGTGTGCTGCTTCTGCCTGTCCTTGCGCCTCCACTGAGCAGGAGCATTCCTCTTTGTCCACCTACACGTGGGGAATAACATCAGCCAAGTGTCAGGAGGCAGGGCAAGGGCAGAGGCAATCAGAGGTTTCCACTTTATTCTATGCATTCTACACATTGTGAACATGCTGACATCAGTTACATCAGCCAAAGCGCAGCTGCAAACACACACAAAGAGTCTCTGGAATATTGGGCAACCAAAATGGCTTAGAATATTCAAATCACATACATTTGCTCTGTATTTTTCCTTTTTTTGGTCACAATTCCAAGGATAATTTAAGCATTGCCCCTCCCCCTTCAAGGTCTTTATAAGAAAATATCCTAAAATATTTGCTAGTTCCTCATAATATCAAATAAGGGGATCTGCTTTTATATTGACAATAATTGCAAGTAACTCTAAGTACACAAACTATCATCTCAAACATAAGAGCTTTCTTCAGTAAATTTGCTTCAAGAAGTCCATATTTAAAACAAAAACAACCAAAAAAAAAAGAAACCAGACATAGCAAAAACCCCATCCCACATCATCTGATCTGCTCCCACTTGAAAAAAACAACCCTAAAACAGACTTTGCTTTCTAAGATCTCTGCTTTAGTGCTGTTCTATAGATCTTGCCAAGATTCAGCACCTGTTGCCTTAGCTTACTCACTTGTTGCTTGCTGGGCCAGTGGATAAAACATCAGACTGAAGCTTAGGAAAAAATCCAAGCTCATATTTCCCTTGTCCAATTTTCATGTCCAGCAAGTGTGGGTGAACTGCAGTGTGATCTATTTTTGCCAGCCTTAATTCAATAGATTTCTCTGAAATAGTAAGAAGGTTAAATTTGTTAAGGTGTTTTAATCAGACATGTATCTACAATCACATATCTTCAATTAAAAGCAGATGTCAAATTAAAGAAAGAGGTGGAAGTTGCTTACTGATTTCAACAGGGACATTAGTACAAGAGTGTTTCTGACATCAAAGAATGCCACCAAAAGGAGAAAAATGTTTATCTTCTTAAGCTCAGACATCTTTCATGCAGGAAAAAGCACAAAGCATGCAGGAAAACATCTGAGTTCTACTTTACATGAATTTCATTTCACATCTCAACATCACAGAAAATGTTTAGTCCCCCGTTTAAGCTCTACATCTCTGCTATTTTGGTCTGGTTTTTTTGAGGTTTCAAAGCATGAATCATTACTTAATCTAATGTCTCCAACAACCAGCACTGACCAGTTGCACTAATTGTCAAGCAAGTGCCTCATGGCCCTTACCAGCCTCATCGATGGTTGTGCATTTCTGATACATAGATGTGCGCAGAGTCGGTGTCCTGACGTTCAGCAGCCTGATTTTATCCACCCTGGAATCAAAAACTCTCAAAACAGGGTCTTTGTCATCTTCATCATGGCACATAATCTTATTGTCAATGAAGGATGCAAACATTTGGGTCTCCAGGAATCTCGAGAGGAAAGGCAAGTAAGGTTCAGGCTGGTCGGACAAGAAAGAAGCCTAAGAGACAGGAAGAGATAAGAGTGTTTGGGAGTCTGCAAAGGGAGACACATCCACCAGAAGCACCAATTTTTCTGATCAAGGATGTATGAGAGTGCTTTGGTGCCACTTAAAGCCTGGGTTTATTGTACACATCAATTCTATCCCCAAAACAGGCAGTCTGTATGAAATTGTCAGTATCAGGACAATCACCTACTGTATAGGACAATAATTGGTACACTGTTATTTTAGCATTTCCTTCATCTCCTAAAAATTTCAACAGGATGCCAGCAAACCACACCATCAGTACTGCAGGTGTGCATATTTGGTACTTCTGGCTGGGCTCACAGCTTGTGAAATCAATGGGAATCTTTTCATACAACTTGGGGGGAATCACATGAATATTTTAGCAGACAGTGCTGCAACAGTCTTCACCCATGTGAGCTCTCCTGCTGACAAATATCTCCAGCAAAGACAACAGAGCAAAAATTTGATGAAAAAATTGATGGGTCTTATGTTTCTCTACAAAAGAGTTAGGAATACATTTGGTACACATGTACATAACCATTATTTGGGGTCATGACTTAATTCATTAACATATTTGGCAATTCCTCTGGTTAAAAATCAAACAGTTTCCACTTGTAATATTTAATCTTAATGAGGAGGTTAGCCCTGAAGTCAGGCTTTCTAAGCTATTTTTCTAGGGCAAAATGCATTTTAATACAGTATCCTTAAAAGAGTATCTTTAGCTCTCTAAGTCTGTATTGGTATATACTTTTCCACATACCTAAGATGTGACTTTTTTGGGAACACTGAAATTTAAAGAAGAAATTACCATTTTTACAGTACAGTTTTCCATTCGATGGCCCAATACACAAAGCCTTAAGTTTGAATACTGTTTTACCTCTTACATCAATGTACCTTTTTATTACAACTTACTTTATCAAAGTTTTGCATCTGTTCTCTGTTTGTAAACCAGGATTCCTTGTCCTGACTGGGCTGAATGACAAACACTTCATAATCTGCAAACATTTGTGTGAAGCGGTTGGCAAAAACTTCCCGAATCTGAATGTTCAGCTGGTAAATCTTGAATTCTTCTTCATCACACTGGATTTTAAGATCCTTTTTGCTACTGGTCTCTTCTCGTACCTCCAGCTGAAAAAGTAAGTAGAAACACAAATAATTTGTATTGATGCTTTGTCAGGTATTCCAGGCATACAAGATTTTCATCTGCCATTCAGTTGCTACTCTTCAAGTCAACATTTCAATAAAGAAAAATAATTACTGTAAAGGGAAAAATCAAAAAAATGCAGACAGAAACCTTTGCCTAGAAAATTTCTCATAATAAACCAAAACTTACTTTAGTACCATCTGCATTGGATATGTTTTAAATTTAAAAAGCATAAATAACAACCATATACATGTCCACAGACTTACCTTTCTCTTACCCTTCAATCACCTGCATAAGCTTCTCAGAGGCTCTTACTACCCCTAAAAACTTGCATATTAGGCAAATCTATATCTGGTGTCAAACAACTCCAGGTGTAGAGCTGCTAAACACATACCAGCTTTCCAATGAAGTCAGAAATGCACAGTAATAAGAAGCTGTGCATGGCTAGCACCCAACTGCCTGTAGCCTAAGCCCTTAGCAGTGTAAATCACAATTCCCCACTACACAACTCAGAGTAATCTTTAAGAAAAGGCATTTTCAGTTAAGATGTGGGCTAAAATTTATCAAAAAAACAATACAATTAAGATATTCAATTCAGAGGGGGGAAAAGAATTACCAACAATGAAAGTCTTCACTCCATTCACAAAAGCTAAAAAAGCTCCCAGGTCTTTCAGGTAGTATATTTTTTGCACAAAGGGGTGTGTTTTGGTTTTTGTTTCACAATTCTAATAACTCAAAAAATCCAATCAGGATCACCAAGTGCATGTCCACTTACTGGGAATCAGACACTCAAACTCTACAACATTAACCAGAAAAAAGCATCACAGTAACCTCATGGCCAATATATTACATATAAGTAAAAAAATATATATTCTAGACAGAATGTATAAGGTATCTATAGAAAACAAGACTGGATGCAAACTTCAGCATTATCTAGATGCCAATTTTAGCCACTTAATTCATTAAATAGTGGCGCCAATATAGAATAAATCTTAAAACCAAGAATAAAAAAGGCAAAGTGCGATTTTTAAACACATTATCTTGGTAAGAAACACTTGGTGGATTGCAAAGATTTTCCCAGATGCTGCAGGGTTAAATCCCATTCCCTTCCTCCCCTAAGCTTGTCCTTGTCTCTACAGGTGCTCACAAGGTTTGAGAACATGAAGGAACAGAAAGTTCCTTCTAGTGAAGACAGACACACAGCATCTTTGGACCATGACTTCAGCCCATCTGCCACTGCAGGACCAGAGAAAGTACAGTTCATTTCATATCTTACCTTTTCCAGACTCACACCTGTTCTTTTAACAAGTGCTTGGAGTCTTGCAATAGTCTCATTTTCCTTTAGCAGCTCATAGGAATTCAGAGGTGATCCTGCTATGTTGCCATTTCTTTTATCAGAAACCAGGTCACATGCTCTGAGGCTCTTCATCTTGGAGGCACTTTCACTGCAGTGCAGGTTTCCCTCAGGTGGAATTCCAAAAGCCATCAGAATCTCTGAAATCTCCTGAATGAACTCAAGTTTATTTGGAAACTGGGGTAGATCTTCTGGCAGCTCAATGAAATGGTTGTCCACATCCACAAAGCACAGGTTAGCCTGGGATTTAATTTAGAACAGGACACCATTACAGCATCACTAAGCACATTATTAATCTTTGGCATTTGTGCTTATTTAAAGATTCAAATACATTTGCATTTGTTTGGATATTTTGTAAAACAGAGTTGCCACAACAATAATTAAACTGGTTGGTTGGCTTTGAAGAATGTAACACAAGACTTACATTTCCAGGTCTTTTAAGGAGGTAACTGAGAAAGAAGACTAATTTTACAGACATTTACTATGTACAAAATAGATTATAACATAAATTAGGTACAAATGTGTGATTTTTCATACATGTACAGCTAAATTTCAAGTACAGGACAGATGCAATTCTATTATATACATGTTTGTATGTAAGCAGGTGACTGCCTGTTGTTTAGCTTATCAGTGCATTTCTCTAAAAGATTTAGCAAATTTCAATCTAAAAGGTGTGCTGATACTGCAGAAGTGCAATGAAGTTATCTTCTCTTTTTCTGTAAGGAACAAAAGGCAATTGCCTGAACTAAGGCAATTGTTTGAATAAGCAAGTTTGTTTCCAAGGGGAAAAATGAAATGAACTAGTTTCCATTCTGTATTTCTGTTCCGATCTCCAACTCATTTACCACCAAAAAACACCAAGGTGAGGGAAAAAAAAAAAAAGAAAACCACCTATGTGGCTTCCACAGCAAGAACAAAAGAAGCTTTGCATCTTTCAAGGTTTACCTCACTCTTTATTTGGCAAGGAGGGAGGTTCCCCTTTTGGCTTCTGCATTGCAAAATCAAATGGGTTCAAGACATTACATAACTACACACATCAGAGCAAGAACCCCAGTCATGTGTGAAACCTGCCTGGAAAGTTAAGAATAGAGAAGTAACTTTGCTCTTCTGTGGAAACATTTCAGTTTCTCTTCACTGCAGAATCATCATGGACTGTCTCTGTTCTGTTTAACCTTCACCATACAAAATATTTCACTCAGATTGTGGGGTACTTCCAACCTAACTGCATGGCATCATTCTAGGAGCCATCCCTGAATTCAGGCCTCACTACAGCTTGGCAGCAACAACACTTTTCAGGTCTATGAGAACTGACATATCTCCAGTTACTCCCTGTGATTCAGTAAGTGCAGGAGGATGGAAGCACCACCACAATTTAATTGGAAATAAATAATTAGAAGATATCAACCTCCCATGGAATGAATGGTGAATGATCCCAGAAATCAGAGCTACAAGGAGTTCTGGTAGGAATTTTGGTGGGACTGACCATAGGTAGACTAGAATAAGCTGTGCCTGACAAGACCTGTTCCTTGAAGTAAACTTATGAAAATATACATTTAGTACTTGTGACAGGTTTCTATAGAACAGAGGCTGTCAACTCTCCTTAAAACACAAATATCTTATTGAGCTTCAACATTGAAACTGAAAAAGAATTCTTAAAGCAGAATTCCACTGGACATATTACACTAGGTTGTACAGAGCTAGTCCAGTTCATGCCCTGCTACAATATGACCCATAGTTACAAAGGAAAGCATAAATCCAGATCTCTATTTCCTAATGTTCTAACATTTCAACATGGAGATTGATTTCTTATGCTCAAAGGAAAGCATATAAAACAATTTGATATCTCTTGTATAGATCCTTTACTGGAAATTAAATCACAAATTTAATTAGGTGTTGCAAAGGAATTCAAGGTCAATAAAGAGAATTAACACATTGATTCTCCAACAGTTTCTAGTGCATCTTAGAAAGTTTTTATGCAGGGCAGGTGTGATTGCTGAAATTCCCCTAATACCAGCACTGCTCCAAGGCAGCATCTGAAGCAAGCACCTCAACTGAGGAGCTTCAAGGCTCTCACTGTACCCATGGTTCTGTGACAATCAGAAGTCAAATCAGCTGGTATTTGTCAGAAACACTGTAAGCATTTCAAGACAGGAGAGAAATAAAGCTTTGAAACCAGGCACAATGCCTACCAATCAGTGCTGAGGGAGAAACAAAAAGCATTGAATTTGCCTCAAGCAGTCTGCAAAATGGCAAGACAGACTCAATAAGAAACTCTTCAACCAGTTTAATTGTATTACTTCCTTTTACAACTTTCTTTAATTGATGCCATTCAACTTTGCTTCCTTTTTGGATCAGATTCTGCAGAAAACATCACTCTTGCTTAATAAGCTTGGTTGTAGCCACAAAGCACTTGGCCAAAAAGAAATCAAACATTAACCTTACCCATGTAGAAATCCTAATCCTCACACTGAAATTAAACTCCTTGCTAATGGAAGAAAAAGCCAAATTCATTGTTTGCTAAAATTGCTTATAAATATCTGGGCTAACACCTGGTTAATTCTTCCAATATGTGATTTTCCCTTCTGCAGGGCTCCTCTCTAAGAGCAATACACACAGTTTAAATACTCTGAGCTCCTAACAATGATTGCTTATCATGCAGCTTGTAATTACATTTTCCAGAAACTGGCCTATATGGAAGCATTTTTTAAAAAGTCAGTGTGCAGCAATACTCTAAATAGAGTGTAAAGAATATTTTCAGGGACACTCTGTAGTTACCCAGTGCCTGGTAAATAACATATAAGATAGAGGACTATCCATAAGCAAAGATTCCATAAGTGACTTTAGCCTCTCTGAACTCAGGGAAGCTGAGGTCATCCTCAAGAATTGCACACAAACTTCTGAAAAGGCCATGCTCCTCAGGGAACAGAAATGGCAAAAACATCTCCATGCACAAGCCCTTCAAGAGGTACCAAACCAGTATTCTTCTGTGAAAATGAAATCTGAAGTAATCAGTGACAGACACCAGAGCAGTCAATCTCACTATGCTGCCCCACTGTAGATCCAACAGAATGGAATACAGTAAGGAGAGAGGGCTCCCCTGCTTAAAAAGTAAGAAAAACTACAAGGCACTTATTATTTATGAAATCATGGTCATGCAAAGCATTTTGCATGCTAGGAACTGGGCAAGTACACAAAGCAGAAAAACAGAGGAGTTCTTTGGCCACAAGGCTTTAGTTATTTTGTTTCTGGGGGCAGCATGGCTGAGTGGGTTGTAAATAGCTGACAGTTCTCTACATGCATACAGTTTATTATTTTACTCACACAAAACTAAAATGATATAAAGAAAAGATACTTGGCAACATGTGTAAGTAGAGATATAATTGAAAGAGGATCCTTAAGTTAGGTACTTGGTATTTCAGGTCTCTAGAACAGTCATATTCTTTTATTTCTTGCTTACACATCAGTTTTCTGATCAAAGGAAACCCCAAAACAGTTAAACATCACTTCAGTTCAATAGCAGCCTGTCACAGGAGAGGACACATTACATCATCTACATAAAAGGTTCTCCTGGGACACGACACTAAGGAACAAGGATGTCACATCCTAACTTAAAAACCTGTCCTTCCCACAAACTTTTAGCATTCCAAGTAACAGGGTGTCCAGGTGAAAGCCTTACAAACCTTAGAAATGTGAATCTAAGCAAATCAGTGTTTGTGTGCCTGGTGCCAATGCCTGGTTCCCTGAAGCCAACAGCACCACTTTCCATGGCCTTAATGGGGTCTGGAGCACACCCATCCATCCCAAAAGCAAAAGACAGCTGCAATTCTTTAGTCTGACCTGAGGTACCATAAGGGCCAAAGCCCCACACACATCTAGCAGGGCCTGCATCAAGCTCTCATCCTTCCTTTCAGCTCTGCTCAAAGGCACAGAAGGAAATTATTCAGCTTCTGCTCCAATACAGCACTGAGAGACTGAAGCCCACTGATCTCCAGCCTGTATCACCTTTGGGCATTTGCAAACACCCCCCAGTGCCCCCAGCACACAGAGAACATGGATGTGCAGCTGTGTGCACACATGGCTGACTTGGGGCAAGGTCTCCAGAGGGCCTCCCATCTGCAGGATGCTCCTGGGCTGTCACAGACGTGTTTTATGAAAAATCCTTAGGACTTTTTCTCCTGAGAAGCTGAGAGGCCTCAGAAGCAAAATGTAAACAATGGTTATCTGCTGCTGTGGAATGCAACAGGTGCATCTGTGATTGGTCTCATAGAGTTGTTTCTAATTCATGGCCAATCACAGTCAGCTGGCTTGGACTCTCAGAGTCAGGAGCTTTTGTTATCATTCCTTTTCTATTCTTAGCTAGCCTTCTGATGAAATCCTTTCTTCTATTCTTTTAGTATAGTTTTAATATAATATATATCATAAAATAGTAAATCAAGCCTTCTAAAACATGGAGTCAACATTCTCATCTCTTGCCTCATCCTGGGACTCCTGTGAACACCACCATAATGTGCCACTCCTGTAAGCCAGTGGGCACCTTCTGCACTTATTGTCAGCACTGCTGTCCTCCATGCCAGCCCAGAATCTGGGAGTGAGAGCAGCTTACAGCCCAAAGCCACTGCAGCCTTCAGGTGGCTGCTCACACTGCAGTACAAGAAAATATAAAACTGAGGCTTGCCAAGAAATTTGTAGTATTATCAAGGATCAAACCAGCAGCACATAGCCTAAGAATGCATACAAAGCAGTGATTATCTTTCAATAATTATCTTGGTCTAATCTGTTAGCATCAGAAGAAAAAAGGCTTTTCAGGAGACCTTTCTTATCTTCTGAAACAACATACAAAAATAAAAACCCACAGAATTTCTTCAGGTTTAGCACAGAATCATCCTTTTAATGGCTGAAATAAAAACACTGAGAATATATATAATCTGCCTTATACTAGCAGAGAAAATGCATTTTAGGTTTTAAAGTCTTTCAACTTTTCTGACAGGAAAAGCTATTGCCCAAGACCCTTGGGATCACTTCATTAAAAATAGGCTTTTTAATGAGGTACTACTTTGATTTCACCAGTGCTGGAAACTCAGCATTGCTTATTTCCACTGAAAATAATTTCAATTTCTACCATTCTCCTGAATTAGAGTGGTGAGATACACATGAAAATCCTGCTGCACGAAATGGTTTAACTTGCTTGTTAAAAATGTATTTCTGTAGCACTGCAGAAGTTTCTTTAGAAGGAAATGCAAACACACATCAAAAAACCCAATCTTAGTTCAGTACTTGCTAGGTTTGTGATCTGTGAGGAAGCTGCTAAAACCACTTTTATTGATGAGTTTCACTGATAAACAAAGCACACTTCTGCCAGCAACACCTCAAACAGCTAAAGGTTCTTCCCTTCCCCTTTGACATCTGCAGCACCCCATTCTGGCACAGCTTTTCCCATGCCCTCCCTTCCCTTCTGGGTTCCTCACAAGCCCCTGGTGCAGCTGCCAGGGAAACCACCAAGATGCTCCTGCACACACAGAGCCCTCAGCAAAGCCCTCAGTGAGAACAAGCATTCTGCTGCTGGCATCCACAAGAAACTCAACGCACACCAAACCTCAGCATTTCCTGGTTTCACTGGGCTACAGAGTCAGCTCTGCAGGTCATTGCTGGTCTTCAATGAATTCTCCATCAGGGACTGCTCTGATGTACCCAAAGGATAACCTAAAATTGTACTAACACAACTTTTTTGTTGGAGATTTTAATCATCATCTGCTACAAGCATCAACTTCTAGGATACAGCTGGATTTCCATGCTCACATGGTAAAGCATCCCCTGGAAACACCAGATGTGACCCAAATATGGGAGGCTGCCACCAAAACAAGCTTTAAGGCATATGTGTGCAAGACTTAGACCGAACCAAACCTAACTGACGTGGGACAGACAGCATTCTCACATTATTAGCCTAAAAACACTTTGAGCAAGACAAACTAGTCCTTTTAAAACTTCATTATAAAACCACAATGAAGAAGTCTATGGTGATACTGAGGTATCCATGCTGGGCTAGACAGCAATATTATTTTCTTCCACAATGCCCTTCAACTGAGAAGCACTAACTAGATTTTCTCTCAAAGCTCACCTCTCTGGCCCCTGCTTAAATCTGATATTGCTTTCTTTTACAGCAGCTGTCCCACACATCCACATAAATAGATTAGGAACACAGATGCAGCTTAGGCAGTTTCAAGACAAAGAAAAACATTTTTTTTGCAGAACTCAGAATAAATTACAAGACAGAACAGCTCTTTGTATACCCTTTGTGACAAGTGAGGAAAATTCTGGTATCAGGAGCCTAGAGGAGCTCCTCATATAACCCTGATGAGTTCATAAAGGTTGACATGCATTCCGAACTTCAGAGATAAACAATGCTAAATATATTAATAGCCCCTCTGATAGTGATGATAAATTTGTCTCTATTGAAGTACAAATAATGGAATCCATATGTCCTCTTCTACTGTTCTACAACAACACATTATTCATGTTCCTTGGCAGTTTTTGTTTGCTGTTCTATGGGGGCTTGTTTGGGTTTCTTTCTTGGTTAGCTGGGCTTTTTAAAGCAAACTCCCTACAATGAAAACCTCAATAATAGTGAGCTCCTGTTCTTCCTAGTCTACTTAACCCCTTGAATAAACAAATCTCTTGGTCCAGGATAACTTTTTAGTATTTCCTAAGAGAATGGAGTTTCCAGTCCATTTCTATGCCACAGCTCCATCTCCAGCCTGCAATGCAAAGGATTCAACAGCTCACAAGAAACCTTACCCAGCAGTGACTACCAAGGGGATTTCTCAGACTAGCTCAAACTCATTGTGCACAAAGTTTTAAGAGCTCACTCTTCAAATAAAAAGAGAAAAGCTGGAACTTCACGAGGACAAGGAAGTCTCACAGCAAATTCCACCATATGGGCATGTTGCTGCTGCTTTCTGCCTTGTCAGTCCTCCCCTTACAGACAATTCTCATCTCTGTAAGATACTAGCAAAAATCTACTCCTCCACCTTCACATAAAAGGCTACCTGTAAAAAAAATGTACATTGAGGTGTCAGATCACTTTTTAATAGTACTTGGATTTCATTTCAAACATCTAAAAATAGATTACCTGCCTTACTTTAAACCTCCAAAATAACCTGATAAATCCCTTCCAAAAACTATTTATCTTTTAAATAACTGAAATGTCTATTTGAAATTAAAATATGTTTATTTAGTTGAAAGTATTACAGTGATTTTAAAATGAGGAAGCCCTTTACAAAAGGAGGACAGTCTTTTAGAAGCTTGTAGTAACAGTGAAAACATCCATGGTGCATATTAACATGCATATCCACACATGCATTTTATTTCATCAGCTATTCTCTCTAAAAAGTGTACTAACCATATTAATTAGGCCTGTCAGTACAGCCAAAATTCTGAAAAAATAGTAAACCAAAGCAATAGACTGTTGTTTTTATGGCAAGAACATACAATATTCTGTTATTAATTATGCCAGTGGAAAATAAAAAAAAAAGAGCAAGACAATGAAGAAATCAAGAGATTAAACACTTGAGTTTTCATAGAAAAAAAAACAGTTTGAAAAAAAAAAAAAGTTTTACTTCAAACTTGCCAGGAAAAACAAATGAAAACTACCAGCATATGGATTTGAGAAAAAGAGCAATGTTGGCATGGAGACCAGACTGGAGGTTCACAAAAATATCTTGTCTTTAATTTCACGCAGCTTTTCTAAAAAGGAAGGGTTTTTTTGTGTCAAGCTATGCTGCAGCACTGCCTGATAATGAAAACAAAAACCACCATCACCACAAAACCCTGGGCCTGCCACGCTTCTGCTTTCCCAGAAATGCAAATGGCAATAGAAGAAAACCCAGAATCAGAGAAAAAGGCAGAGAATCCTACCAGGGCCTCTAAGTAGGGTGTTCCCCATGATTTCCACAGTTCCACCCCTTAAAAGTTACACCTACAAGTAAGCAGGGGTCAGACATTTCCTCTGCTGCCCTGGGTAGTGCCTTGATCCTCCCAAGCAGCCCTTACACTCTCTGGGCACATCCCCAAGGAGTGCTGTGAACTGAACAGGGGGATCAAATAAACAAGGACAATCCCTAGGCAGGCTGAAGGCAGTGCCAGCCCCAAGGAGGAGTTGCAGGAGCTGTACAGAGCATTTCCTTCTCCCTGACCTGGGCTGCTGCTCCCAGGGCTCCTCAGCAGCACCCCAACCAGCAGCAGTGGCCCAGGGACACGCTGACATTGTGCTGCACGCTGAAGCTGGCACTCCAGGAGAAAATCTGAAATGGTTCTGTGCACACATCTGGCAGGCTGGGTTCATGTAAGCCAACCCCAGGAGAGAAGTCCAGGGCAGGGAAATCCAGCCTAAGCCCACACAGCAGGAACCAGCCCAGTGCTGATGCCAGCTGAGCTCTTCTCACTCACCACCACAACCTTTTGGCCACAGCTGGGGAATTCACACTGCACTTCCCAGCATTACAAGGCTAATTTTTCCAGCACAAAAATGGTCTCTCTGTAACCCCAGTATATCAGTTCCTGTAAAATTACAGTTGAATTCTATCAGAGCAGACAATCTCAAAAGCAGGGCTTTATCTTTTTCACCAAATTTTGGTCAGCATCTCTAAGAAACAAAGACCTATCCCATATCAGAGCCAGCAAGAACTTGGCAATGGCTGGTACAGTTAGCACTTGTGTTTTGGATAATTTCTCACTTCCCTCATAGTCATGGACAGTATTTAATCAATCAAGACAAGCTCCTCTCACCTCTTGAGGAAGTTCCAGCTTAGACCTATCATCCAGTCCATTAGAGTGCAAGCCCATGAGGTAAGGGACAGGAGCATCTAGAAAATGAAGGAGGGATGCTGGAAGGATAGGAACATACACATGCTGCCACTGAAATGGAAACATTAGTGCTGTGATGGTCTCTGCCACTGTCATCAGCCTCTGATAATCTGAAAAACATCAAGAAAATTAAAATTTTTTTCACAAATACTTTTAAGTAAATCAATTTAAATTAAAGAAATGAGAATTTGCTTGAAAACAGAAACCACAAAACCCAGTGCTAGCTGAGTGGCATCATAATGAAAACCCAGACCTGCACACCCAGCACATTTTGCTGAAACAACAAAGAGAGCTCAACCCAAAGTAGGTCATTCTACAAGTCATATGGAAATGAGCAAACTAACCCTTAATGCATGCTAAGTCACTTTCTGCTACCTATACCAGGGTCACCAGGAGCACCAGTCTGAACACAGAAGCAATATTGTAATCAGCTAAGAAACACATCAGAAATAATTTCTTTTCTCTGTGCTCAGGGCTTTCTATGGAAGCCTTGGATGAAACCCAAGGCATCTGGTATCTCTCAGATAAACATTTTTTCAAAGAGTGTTTAAATGTCCATAAAGCATGCTGTATAGCAGCCAACCCAACAGTGTGACTGAAATAACTATGCAGAAAATAAAAAGGATCAGCTTTGTTTAGCCTTTGCAATGCACGACCAAAGCCTCAGTTCAATGTAAAAACAACTCATGTCCTCCTAGAACTTAGCAGCAGTGTTAAAATACCTGTGCAACACACTGAGACATCTTTTATGTAGCACTGGTGGCTACAGAAGTTCACACTGCTGAGCAAACATTGCATCCCCTTCATCTGTAACTACAGAGTCATCTCCAAGGGGTTTTGAAATCCCATAAAGGGGGAGGCAGCACCAGATGTGTGTTCCAATACAGCTGCTGAAACATCCCAACTGCCTTCCAGCTGCCAGGCTGGAAAGGGTATAAAACACTCACACAACTAGGGCAATTCCTGCCTTCTGTCAGGCTATAAATACAGCACAAACTGGAGACACAGGATGCCTTTTCATGATACTGCAACAACATCCAGCTCCAGCCAGGAAAGTGGAGGGAATACAAGGAAGAGAAAAAGTCAGTAACCTTCATATGTGAGTATTAAGGTGTGGGGGATGCCTGGTCTTCACCTTTCACACAACTACAGACACTGTGAAACTGAAAAAGACACCTGAATGGGCAGGCTCAGCTGCTGAGGTTTCTGAAGCTGTTGCACACAGTCACAGAGGGCAGATGGAAACTGCAAGAATAACATTTGCTCTAAACACTCTGGAGAAAAATTCAGCTTAACTGAGCACTTCCCAAGTTGATGGCTTTGATTCTATCTTTTGGCCAGCCTCCACTCAAGACTTCAGACAGCAGAAAAAAGAAAGGCCAATAAATTCAATTCTTGGCATTCAAGATTTATTTTGTCTGGGGAAAAAGTTGCAGAGTTTGGGGTCTGCAAAGAGCCCTACAACCTAAGAGGAACTCAGCACAGGTTTTGCTAACATCACCCATAATTCTGCAATTTAGGTTTTTGATTTTTAATCTTCACATCAAGCAGTGTTGGTAAAAAAGGTTATTGGTTGATGGTTTGATGGAACTACCTGTCACAGCAGACCTGCCATGAAGGACCCTTCAACCAGAACAGGTGAGAACAGCTTAAACAGGTTAAAGCTTTTGCCAAAAGCTTATTTGGAGTGAAATACCAATGAACATCACAGCAACACTCCCCTACTCTGCCTGGACACCAGCTTCTGCCTGCACACCTACATGTGGGTTTGCAGCTTTAATCACAGCCTGACTGCAAAGAAGTGATGAATTAATGATAAGCTTTGGGAAGAGGAAGATTCTATTCCATACCCTATTTTCTTCACTTTTTAAAGGACCTTTAAATGTACCCATAGATACACAAACATTGCAGCTGGTTTGTATTCAGCTTGTTTATGTGGAAGTACAAGTCTTAAAATAGAAGCAGTGTTTTCCTACTACACAAAACCCCCTGTCTGATCCTGCTGGATAATTTAAATACAACTTCTCCCTTTGTCATTAGGCTAACTTTAGTATCAGCCTTCCCCATTAATTATACAGTAACATCAATAGGTCAGAATTTCTATCCAGTGGGCAGCCACCTCCTGCCAGGGAGCTCTCTGCAAAAGCAGCTCTCTGATCCTGGGATATCCACATGGCTTAAACCACTCCCAAAGATTTGGCCTGCCCAGCTGCAGCCTGCAAGTAACAGTGACTGCATTCTGCTATTGGCAAAAGGCAAGGACAAAGGCAAGAAGCATGAAAATATAAACCAAAATAACTCCTATGTTTTCATAAGTTACACCTACCCAGAGAAGGTATGGAGGGAGTTTTGGGTTTAAAGAAGCAAGCAGCACAATTCTTGTACCAAAGAATTAGAGAAGATTAAAAAAAAACAACAACAAAAAGATTACAAGAGTGAACAAGTGTTTCAGCAGTGCTGTTGCTCTTGTCCTTGAAATCAGAATGTGCTTTTTCTGGAGTCAATGACATGATCTTTTGGCCTAGTATTGTACACAAGCACTAGTGGGGAAATAATGACATATGACTAGGGCACTGTTAGATGGGAAAGTGCTTAACTGATCACTGGGCAAGGAAAAGAAAATCCACTACTTTTTTTAATATGGCCACTTAAGAACACAGAAAAAGCATGATTTGTTATTCTAACCAACTGCTGTAAATAGAATACATTATCTCTTAAAGTGTGTATGAGAAGTTACACAATAATATTTATCTGTAGAAGATTTAAAAAATAAAAGAATAAATAGAGAGGTCCTGTGCCTGGAAAAAGAGGAACAGGATGGGAAGAAGCTGGCAGCTCTAGAAACCATAATTCCACCTCCCCATTTTCACATTCTACCAGAGAGAAGTCTGTCAAGTGCCCACAGAAATCCTCTGACTCAGCCAAATTTAAAACAATTATACCATCACATTTTGGAACACTTTTTCCTTTTAATCTTCCTACTTCATGGATCACAATGAAATGCTGTTGTATTTGTCAAGTCACTCACAAGGCACATCAAAAAGCCCTGTAGCTGCAGTAAGAGCCAGCTGTGGTTAGCAGAAGCAGTGGGGTGCAGAATCTCCTGTTGTGTGTCTGATAGAGGGCAAGGTTCCTCAATACTGGAGGCATAACCAGACTGTCCTATGCAAGAGATCAGAGCTAGGCAGCACAGAGTAATACTGCAAAGACATTAATACCTTAAATCTCCAGAATGAACATTATTTTAAACAAATGAACAAAGATGAGGAGGAGAGATTCAAAGGCAGAGCAGAAAGAAACCCTTATTTGTACTGTAACATGGCAGCAGACAGCTGCCACCCAGAAAATAAAACTGTCCTAGAGCACAGTCTGTGGCAGCAGTGCATTACATTTCTCCATTTTTTGTTTCTAGCTGTTTAAAAAAATTACCTCCAAGCAGATTTCACAGCTGTCTTAACTCAGTACACACTTTTCAGAAGAGCTCTAGGTGCTCTCTGAGATAAGGAATAAGTCGATTTCACAGTTACAAGAGCAACATCAATTGCAGGAATGCAAACCAGCTCCCACAGAGTATCTGGCAAGGGCACTTCCCACAGGCCTCCAGCACCACTGACTCTCTCCAGAGTTCCTCAGCACTAGCAGCATCCTCAAATTCCTCCCTCTCTGGCACTTCTCCAAATGGTAGACAGGTCTCTCAACAGGACAATCCAATTGAGGCATTCATTCCCTGCACTTGGCTTACAGCAATCCAAAATACACAAGGCTCTGCCAGCATAGTGGGACAAAAGAAGAATTTCCAGAAGCATCAAGTCAGAAACATGTCAAAGGAATCTTAAACCAAAACACTTTCACTGCCAAGTGAAGTTACTCCTACTCCAAGGACTGACTGAAACTTAAAACACTAAAATAATTTGTTTCCAAAAGGATTGCACTTGGCAACAAATTCAGAGAGACATATAATTATGAAAAGGTTTGGGTTGGAAGGGACCTCAAGATGATCTAGTTCCACCAGACCTCCAAGAGGTTTGGGGTTTGGTTTTTATTTTGGTGGTCTTTCATTATTTTGTGTGTGTTTGTTTTTGGGGTATTTTTCCAAGTAAATCTTACAAATCTGCTGATCCTGACATGTACTGTTCTAAATCTAAATCCACTCAATGAGTATCAAAATCTCACCTGACCCAGGAGAACAAGAAATTTCTCAGTCACCTCAGCTGTCTTGGGTTGAACAAACTCACAGGACATTTAAAAACTCAGTATTTATATTCTGAAGAACAACCTAGACTCACAGTGGTGTGCATGCAAGAACATGAAAAAGCCTTTACAAAAGTAAAGCAATCCCTGATTCCACTTAGAACTGAGTGCACAATCACCTGTAGCTCCATTCAATATTTCCTGCTTTACAAACAGCAAAAAACAGATGTTACTCAACCTGAAGATGTTACTCAATACTGAAGAAAGAGGAGAATATATTAGCACCATATTCCAGTTGAAAAGAATAACAGAGGCAAACAAACAAAAACTCAAGAAAACAGAACAAAAAAGCAGAGAGATTAAATCCCTCAGCAAGTCCTTAAGAGAAGCTATGTTTAAAAAGAAACAATTGCCTGCTATTACTGAGAAGGCACTGCTGCAGCCAGTTCACCAAGCCTGAGGCTCAGAAGACAGCAAACAATTAACTAAAATTATTTTTCTACTCAAAGAAGACTTTTCAACCAAAAACTAAAATGAGAACTTGACAGAGAGATGAGACACCTCCATAAAATGTACAACACAGCCCAGCTCAGCCCAAGCTTGGGGTGAGGCAGGGAAACAGTGGGCAGAAAGTGTCCTAACTGATCCCTCATCCCTCTGAACTCCAAATGTCTGAGCCAGCAAACAAGAAACTCAAGTGTTCCAGGGCTATTTTAAGCCTCTTTAATTAGCCACTGATCAGACACCTGGAAAGGACCCAAGACAGAAAGCTGAACCTATTAAAAGGGCTTGGAAAGAGAAGCCAGAATCCAGCAGGCTAGCCCAGAAGTGAGCTGAGCTCCAGCCTGGAACAACAGAGCACTCACAAGGGGATGCCTGGAGGCAGCTCCAGGAGCACTGCTCCCACATGGTGATGGACACTGGAGCTGCCAACCCTCCACAGGAACCTCAGACACCCCCAGAGGCCAACAGCACCTCACCTTTCTTCATGAAGGGTGCTCATGTTCGAATCCTCCACTGGTGGGACACAGGTGTCCACAGAAACTCTCCCAGAATCTCAAACATAGCAATGCCTAATCCATTTCAGGGGAAACCACAAAAGAAACTTGACTGCTAGACAAGTATTTCAAGATTTGCTTTGAATTTGTTTTTTAAATCCAAGAGAGTAACCACTACAGAGTTCAGTAAGTTTTTTTGACTGCATCTGAATTACTGTGCAGCTTTTCTCTTGCAGTTCACAGTGTCTATAAAATGATACAACTGTAATTTAACACCCTGATGCCATTACAGACTTTTAATCACCCTGATTGTACACACAGATCCATCCTTGGCTTTAGTCTATGCACAGATCTTAACACACAACATAAAATCTGTATTTCATGCTTGGAGAAGGCTGCTGATAAATGTAGGTAATATTTTGTAAATAGTTGCTGTGTTCTACCTATTTCAGTTACAGCTCAAGGGAAGTAAGCACTGAAAACAAATTTCAGTAACACCATGGACTAGCCCTGAATTTGTCTTGGGATCTCTTAGGCTTCCTAACCATTACTATAAAGTAGTGTTCAAAATGCAGGCTGTCTGCTTAAACCACACCATTCTGAATGGGTGAGTCTGGACTAATGTTAGTCAGGTTGGGCCAAAAAAAAAAAAGTACAGAAATTATCTTTTGGCATAATTCCACATAGTCTGTGTTAGAGCAACAGGATGTGGAGTAAGAAGGCCAGCATCCACAAATTTCAACACAGAAAATAGATCCCACTCCCACACTACTCACTAATTGATAAACATGCTATTTTAGCTCAGTTGCTGCCCATCCTCTTCAAAGCAAGCTTCAGCTCTGTGCCTTCAGAGCTGTAACTGTTTCAAGGCCTTCATGGAGATTTGGGATTTGAGCTCAGTCAAAACTTATCTTTCAAAGTAAAAACTAAAATGTGACTTTGGGTACTCCAAGAGAAAACTGTATTTGCATGATTAACTCTTCTTCAGAACCAAAGGTATACATAATTGACTGTGTATTGTTTCAGAATGCATGGCTAGTTCTGTAGAGATAGCAGGGAATTCAGCTGAGCAGCTAGACAGGAACATGGAAAGGCAAACTGCTCGATCCACTAGCACAGTTCCAGAGCCAACAATAAAGGGGTCAGCCAAACCACAAATAGAGGAGATTATGTGAAAAGCCAGTTTTAAGTTTAGGTGTCTAACAGCAGGAGCCAATGCAACACTCTCCTTACAGTGCTTTTCTTTACCTGAAGACCTGCAGACAGATCAGTCAGACTGCAACAGCATGCTCATGCCACTTTAATGCAGCTATTCTGCTGTTTGTGGTGCTTTTAGCATTCAAGACACAGCAAGATCTTGTGCCAATACAAGATAAGAGAACAAAACCCAAGTACTCACGCTGTGAATAAAGCAGTATCTGAAACTCCAAAAGGGCACAGGTAAAGAGTTGAACCACATTTTCTACTCCAAGCAATTCAAAAACTTCTTTAACAGGAAAATCAAACAATGGTAGTTCATTGGTGCTTGGCCTCTGGCAGATAATTGGTCCATAAACACCTGAAAACTTCAATGACCTTCCTGCTGGAGGAAGAGGAACCTCATAGAGAATATTGTAGATGTAGCTTTCTAAAGGTAGCGGCGGTGGCTGAGGTGAAGTCACTGCTTGGTGAAGCTGTTCCAGAACTTTCTTACAAGCTTTCATGAAAGACATTGGAGTAATCAGACAAATGCACTTGGAGACATAGAGAGTGTCTCTGCTGATGTCATAGGAGTTAAATCTCTGTAGCTTTGAGACAGAGGTGCCATTGAGGTCCCCAGTGCTGCTGCAGCTCTCCTTGTCATTGGTGGGAGGGCTGTGAAGAATGTCATACTCAGCATTGTGCATATGATACAGGGTCTGCATTGCACTGCAGATCTGTTTGCTAGTGACTTCCTCAAAAAACGTGAGGGAAAATCCAAATGTCCGCGAGCCATCTTCACGGGTAATAATGAAGGAGTGGAACTGAGGTTCTCTGGAATCTGCTTGTGTCTTGAAAGCAAGCCCTTTAGGCATACACAGCTACAAAAAAGGGGAAGGGGAGACAATATCCATTAAAAAACGCTTTTCTCTCCCCCTGCCTGCAGAAGCATTGGTGAAAATGGGATTTAAAATCCACATGCTGCCATCGCATTTCACTTTAAATTCTATTAAGTGTTACATTTCTGCACAATACAGTGATATGGGTCTAAATCAGAAAAACAAAAGGAATTTATCCAAAGGCCTGCATGCAATTTCTATTGAAACTTATTACTATTTTGTTACCAGCCTCATATTTTTTTATGAATAAAATAATAAAATTCAAACCCACATAAATGAAAGTACTTTTCTGGTCACCAAGACCAGAAACCTGACAGAGAAAATATTTTATCTAAATTAAGATACACCACATTATATTAAATGGAAAAATCATGCAGAAAAAAAGATTCATTGATTGCAGACTAATTTATTTCCCTACTAATTCTCTAGAATGTAACAAAAAAAATAACCCAAAAGCCATGAAGTGATACTGACCATTCCCACTGCATCCTGGTCAAAAGGGTTCCATTCAACATTCTCAGGATAGCGAGCAAGAACTTTGGATTTAAATGTGCGTCTTAACGGAGTCTGTTCAAAGTTTTCCCCTGCAGATGAAAGAAAAACACACAAGTAAATATTTCATTCCCTTTTTGAGCAAAAACAAGGCCAAAAAGCAGGACATCAGCAGGTAGACTCGAGGGTAAGTGAATTAAGGACACATTCCTTTTAAGAGAAACAGAAAATGCAGACAGTTGGTTAGCATATAGTCAGACTGCAGATATTAGCAAGGATTAGCTTTGTAACACTTCTGTGTTGCTGAGTATCTGTGCTTTTCCTTAAGTGTGGCAATCTTGAGATTGTGGTCATGACAGCAATTCTCTAAGCCACTCTTCAGATATTTCAGATTCTTGTTAAAACACAACGAAAGCTTCAGTTTCAGTGCAATGTTGTTACTGAAGAAAAGCACAAATAGACAAAATGCAAAGATGATGCAACTTTTAGATAGACATACAAGTGACATCATGAGATCTCTTAATTTCATTTTCAAGGCTCAGGAAAAAAGATAACCACCATCTATTGCAAGAAGTTAGCTGTGAAGGAAGAGTCTAGAAGGTTAGAAGGTCAAGAACCACATAAATGTCCATGAAGATAGAGCATCAGATGAACAAAGTGCTTTTTTTTTGCCCCACACTTTTTCCTTTACCTTCTGTTGCACTTGAAATGAAACGGCTGCCACCATCTCGGGTTTTAGAGGCCTGTATATACTGGCATAAAGCTATATAACAAATAAAAACAACACTGCATTATACATTTCATACTGTTGATCATGATCACGTCGCTGACACACACCAGTAAAAAACATACAAATATCCGGAATTAGCATGCAGGACAGTCTACTTCCCTAATATGCTTTTTCTACAAATACAACTTATACAAATTTCTCATTTTACCTACAAATTTCTAGAAGGAGATGATCAGTATGTAAGAGAAGCTCACTGTTCCTGTACACACAACCTGAACACTGATGCAGTAGGAACAAGCTGCTTGTGAAACTTAAGTGTCACATTTTTAACTACAAAATATTTCCAAAGAGCAGATGATGAAACTGACCCCAAGGACAAGACCATTTCAAGGCCTTTAGAAGTGTATGAATTTAAGTGGCATGGTCCAGCTTTCCACAGGTGCTATCCATAGATTAGATTGGCTGAAAGTCTTGTGTAGAAGCTCTTAAATTTCCTCTAGAGCAATGACAGCTCATTGTGATAGCACAGAACTTTCTGCAGTAAATAGTCTGAGTGTGAGCAGTTGCTTTAAAAAAACAAAAATGTACAACTGTGTATCTTAAAATAAGCTTAGCTATATTACTAGAATGCAATTAGCTAAATAAGCATGCAGCTGTTGACAGCTGCACTAACAATCAGGCACAATTGCATGAAATCATATGCTTTAAATAAATGGAACTATTTCAGCAACACCTGCAAAAGAGAAAACACACTCCAACTCCTCTCTTGTTTTCTTACATGCAGCAATTACAAGGCAATAGAAATTGATTTCAGAATTGGTTGGGTTTGTTTTGGACGTCTAGAGTAATATTTAAAGTTCAATTTCAAAGCCAAGTGAGAATCTTTATTTGGCATGACACTTACTTGCACTAAGTAGCCACAGACAGAGATCTTGCAGCACTGCCTCTGCACAATACAGAACCTAACAAACGCATTACACCAAAGCAAACAGAATTTCCAGTGAATGCTTAACGAGTCCTTTGACAGCTGAGAAGCCTGGTAACTGAGGATTTTCTTTAACTAAGTCTAAATATTATCTCAGACAGGGAACTTACCCTGAATCAGGACCTAGGACAGGTCTCACAATACCCAAAATATTGACACCTATTTTGCTAATTCTCTGGGTTTTAGCACTGAAATTGAAGGAGGCATTGCTTTCATTATTTGTCTGAAAAATCAACAGCTCAGCTAATTTTCATACAAAACCACACAGTTACATTATTTATTAATCTGTTCAACCATATCATTCAATAATATCATTGTTCAGAAAGAAAAAAAAAATGCATATTTGGGAAAATCTGAAACAAGTAGAAAGAGGAATAGTTAGGAATAACCAGGACACAACTTCACTGAAATATAACCATCTTATGAAAGAGTAGAGCTAAAGACAGAAAAGATAACAGCATTTCCGCAGCTAACACAACCATAAAAGATGAAAATAAGCATTTAAAGAAACTTTCAGTCTCCCAGAAAGAAAAATGGACATAATGCCACATCTCTACTGACACAAACATCCACTCAAGTGAAGTCAGTCCTCTGTAAAAAGCTTTTAAAAGTATGTCAGGAGATTTAACACACCTACTGTTTTCTATATTTACATCTGTGCAGATGATGTAATGTCAACTTTTAGATAATTGAGGAAAAACCTCAGACATGTACTAAGCTGTTTTGTTCCTTGGCTGGCTTTTTTTTATCTTCCACATACGTAGAGGAGAGAAAATACACGAAGGCCAAATTTTCTCCCGAACTTGGAAACCACACAGCACAATCACTGAGTTCACCCTTGTGCAAGGCTATACATTTGAAATTAAAAAGGAAGAGCTGTGATTTGAAAACCTTTTCATTAAGAGTAGTAACACTGCAAAATACATGATGCTGCTGGTTCCTTATGATTAAGAAAAATCCCAAACCCTAACAAACACTGAATGGATATTTACCTATTTAAAGAAGCCTTGCACCATCTCCTCCCAAGAGACATTCTCACCAACACACTCTTAAATTTTTTAGAGCTGGAGTCTGTCTGTAATTTAATGAAAGGACTAAAATTGATTTCTGGAAACCACTGAGTCCTGATTCAGACAGAAACATAAGGAGCCCTGTCAGGCCTTGCTCCCATCCATCAAGGCACTCAGCTGTTGCACAGACACAGCAGCACCCTGCTCTCCCCTCCCTCTCCTCTCCTCTCCAGGCTGCCCTGCTGGAATACTGCTGCCAGCTCTGTAGGATGTTCCTCTCCCCTTCCAGAGCAGCACAGTCTCCCATCCCCAGCCAGCTCTTTTGGGAGAGCCTTCATGCTTGGAACACCACAAACTACTGGACCATGCTGGCTCCCAAAGATACTGGTTCAAACAAGGCAGGGAACATCAAGGGACAGCTCAGCAATGTTGGAAAGTTCAGCCCAGGTGATCTGTGCAACTCCAGGACACTGGACACTCTATTTTCTGGCCATTACAAGTAAAGGGAACCTGAGCACCACTATTTCCTTTTCCTGGGCTCCCCCTTCCCTCTTCTCTAGTGGTTGTCACTAGACAGCCATCAGCAGTGGGGAGGGAGAAAATCCACAAACAATACTGACTTACATCCAGAGGCAAAAAGCAATTGACCCTGAATTTCTACATTTATGATCAGCCTCAAACAGAGACACCCTGGTACAGCAAAGATCCAACTGCAGCACCTCTCCAGCAGCAAAAATAACTCAAGGTTTTGAGATCTGTCTCTGTGTGAATTACAGAGTGACAGAATTAAAAGGATATTCTGAGCTGGAAGGGACCCACAAGGATCACTGAGTCCAATTCTTAAGTAACAGGAATCAAGCCACAGCCTTCATGTTATTAGCACCATGCTCTAACCAACTGAGCTAATCTTGGTTTCCTTCAGTTAGTGGATTTATTCAGGAATAATTGAAATTATTTTGATAAAAAGAGTGAAGAGCAATTTTAGCAAATGCAAGAGACCAAACCCACCAGAAGAAATGGACAGTTGTATTCTACAACTAAGGAAATGAAGGCACAAGAGGAAATAAACTGATAAAGATATGATGTATCCCATAAGTTGAGCTAGAGAGCAAGTCCCCACACTTAACAACTACCAAAGGAGTGCTATCCTCACATCATGTTTTTCACAAGGTTTCTCTCCCTTAGAAGAAATGGCTAGAAAGTACTTTCCTTATCCAAGTTATAGTAAAGAGGTCCTTAGAAATTATTTATCTAAAAATAATTTTCTGTTATACACGTTCCATGCAAAAGGAAAACTTTGGAGGTTTTTAATGGAACACAGTATTGCCTGCTGAAGACTAAAGAGGTCTTTCAAACACCATTGATGTTCTTCACATACACATTTGTCACTCAGGTGTTTGTTATATCAGAGGAAAAGCTCTACAAAAATCAAGATGCAAAATGTCCCACACACTGCAAAGTTGCAACTACCTTGGACTTAAATCAGAATCAATGATCAAACAGCTACAACTATAAGATTATTTGTCAAGAAATGTCAAACAACATACAAAATCCATAAACACCCAGCAATACTTCAGGAAGTTTCAGGCGAACATCAAACCTTCAAAACAGTAAGAATCCCACTGCATTTTGCAATGTAAACAATATCATGAAAGCATAGAGAAATAGAATTTCACCAGGCACAGTACAAATGCATAAGCACCAGTTTAGTGCAGCCCTGGCACTGCACCCAGCAGGGGAATGACAGTGAAACAGAGCATCTCAGAATTTCTTTGTAATTGGAAAAAAACCTGCTCCCTGTGTCATCCCACTCAAAATAGGATCAGTGAAAAAACATGGCTTAAAAATAAACAAAGAGAATAAAGAAAGGGTTAACAAAGATGAACATTTCACTAATCCAGTTCAGCCACACAAACAGCTTAATTAGCTCATGGTGATTCCCCAAAACAGGAGGGAAGCAGAAAGTAAACCACAGATACAGAGGCAGTGAAACTGGTGAGCAGAAGTTCTAATACCTGCTAGCTCCTGAAGCCAGCCCTCCTCCTGAGGCCCAGCTCAATACCTGCTGGCTCCTGCCATGCCACATAATAAATAGATTTTTCAACACCAGCAACCATCACCCAGCTCTGGTAATGCTCTTTGCTTCCTCTCCCATTTTTCACGCTTTACCAACCCTCCCCATTAAACATGATAGATCCCTGCTGCCCTGGAGATGGCTGAGCACCTGCCTGCCCAGGGGTGGTGGTGAATAATTCCTCTTTTGCTTTACCTATTAAGCTGTTTTTACCCTGACCTGAGAGTTTTCCCACTTTCAGACTTCTGATTCGCTCACCCATTCCACAGGAGGGGAGTGAGAGGCTGTGTGGGGCTGCCTTAAACCACACCACCGTGTAATTTGAGAAGACATGCATGAAAGACTTGAGCTATTGGAGTCAGCTTGCTTATCAAAAGGGAAGTCACCAGCTAGACACAGCCTCTGAGGAAATCTCCTTGGCTGAGGGATGGCCAAGGCTGCAGGCTTGGCCTGGCTCTTCCTGGGCAGGCAGAGCTCAGCTGAGAGCAGGCTCAGACCACAGAGAGGGACACTCAGCACCAATAGGATTAAATCCCACATCAGAGGCAGGTAATTCTCCAACACCTCCATCTCACTTCTTTTCAGTAAACTGAACCTGAGGGACTGAATTGTATGCATAAAGCAAACTACAGATGACCAGAGAGTTGAAACACATTACATTTATTTGGAAGATCCAGCTCAAACAGTCCAGCTCCCCTTTTCACTGCTGCATGGCAGCTCACACCGCTGCTCCAACAGCCACCTAATACTGTTTGCAATGTATGGAACCATGATGGGCTTTCAGTTCCAACTCCATTTACACCACCTGAAATTATGCTGGCCTACATCTCTGTAATTTGGACTTTGCAATTACCAGCACATTAGAGCAGCTAATGCATGCACTGCAAGTATCCTACGCTGAGCTAACAAGTACACCTAATTTTATCAGTCCCTTCCTGAGTCACCTAACACTGAACATGAGCCA